CACGGGTTGATCAGGCCTAAGCCCGAACTCGAGGGAATATCTAACAATTAAGATTTTAAAATGAACATGGAATACAAAATGAAATAAGAAATAAATAAATAACAGCTGGAAAAACCTAAAATAAAATCCTTTAAAAATAAATACTTAAATCTGATAATCCAAAACCTTCAGTAGTTTAAACAACTCGGGAATCCATCTCTAGTGACCCCTAATAAAAATCTAAACAGAAATGAAACTACTCAAAGAACATCCAGAGTAAACCATAGAGAGAAGTCCTACGTCATCGGAAGAGTGAGTAGTAGTCTTTGCTCAGCACGATCATGTCTAAGTCTGGAACTGACAAGTACCTGAAAAATAGAAGTGGGTCAGGCCCACGATCAAGTTCTAACCTACTACAATCCAAGTAAAGACTCGATACGCATATACATCCTAAGCAGCTCAACAATAGCTAATAGTTCGTACGTAAGTATATCCACACTACAGGACTCTCACTGGACTATGGAGAGGGTCTCAACCTGAATAAAAGGCAACATGCGACAATGCACCCAAAGGTGGGCATGAGTACCTAGACCTAACAGGATATACCTCAATCTCTCATATCCAGCTACGCATCCTACTACATATACGCTCCCTAACCAACGACTCTGAGGCTCAAGCTCAGATCGCGGTACCATAAACATATATTTAAAGTCCGTCCAATCTATCCAAAGTAAATCCAGTTAGTCATTTAGCTTGTGTAGCTTCTTTGACTTAACATATATAGCAAGTAATCCAATTAGTCATTCAGCTTGTGCAGCTTCTTTGACTCAGATATAAGTAGGATTTTGTTTATATAATCCATTCCCTTATTCCAACATAGGTAGGACTTAGCGTTTCTAGCTAATCCAAACCTAGTATGCCAACGTCCCATACCGGTGCATACGTTCCATACCATCCAGCAGTTATCAGTACTAATAATGAAAGTACATACCAACTGGTTCATAACAAATATAACAAGAATTCATCACAAGTATAACAAGAATATGTATATGTCATGCTTGTTCGGTACTATCGATACCTGATTCTCCAACAAGTTTAAAATACAAAGAATAGGTATAATCTATCCTATGATCCACTATGAGCATTAAATTAATAATATCAGAATTAACATGCTCACTTAAAACTGTTCCACGATATCCGGCAAATTGATAAGATACAATACTGTATAATTGTATAGTTAGAACCCAAGTTCCCATTAAGCATAACAGAGAATTATTACAATTGGCATGCTTAATTTTATAACATTACGACATGATTTAAACCATAAATTTCCTAAGTCAATTACCAATTTACAAATAAGCAACTTGAATCATTCGTATTCAAGCCAAACCTACAAACTTTCTGCAGAGTCTCCTATTGTTTTCTACGTTTGCTTCTTATGGTATATTATGTATTACCATACCTCCTGAACCTTTAATAAGAGTTTAGACACCACTGTACTCCCCCAGAGCAACTCCTAATTCAATCTGAAACTTTACAAATCCAACCACAGTAGCCTAAAACACGCAGAAAACCAAAAAACTGGAAAAACATGAAAAGAGCAAGCTCCGAACAAGTTGGAGCCGCCTCCAAACCCTTTAGAGCCGGCTCCATGATCCCATGGAGCCGCCTTTCTTTCCCCCCTCTCCTCCCTATCTGCTTGTTTCGTCTCCGATGAACTCCATGGCTTCCGTCCCTCTATGTTTCAGTCTCTAACACTTTTCATTATGTTCAGACTTAACCAGAGAAGATCCATCTAACTCCTTTAGGCATTGATTAATAGCAATTAAAAGAACAACTACACAGTCGAACACAAGACAAGCAATTTACAACTCAATTCAGCACATACTGATGTAATAAGTTTTAAACATGCACAATCAATTAATTTCATTAATGATTTCCTGGAACTGCTTAGGCATGCAAAGAACACGAGTAAAAGGGAAAGAGTAAGGTTAGAACTTGCCTTACACTGACGTCTTTCTCAATTCTCCGGCGAACACTCTGTTTGCCCTCTCTGTTTCCTCCCAGACTTCTCCAAACTTTGCTTTGCCTTTACTATATCGTGAGTATGGTTTTAAAACCCTAACTAGACGTATAGTACATATTTATAGGCAACAATACCTACGTCTCACTAAACCCTAAACCTGAACATCATAATCGGCCCATACAAAAACCTGTTTTACCAACTAAGTCTGCTACCAATTTAGCAAAACAAACTTAATTAATTAAAACTGTTAATTCACCGAAACTAAAATACAATTAATCAATTAATTTAAATAAGTCACCTAAATCAAATAATCCAAACAATGTAAATAAATCAAATAATAATAATTAATGCAAATAAATACAATTAACTTAACTATTAATGCAAATAAATACAAATAAACCAAATAAAATGTAATTAAATAATAAATTAAATATCAGGAATATCCTTTTAAAATTAGGAGTATTACACCGCTGGGCTGTCATCCGATCCGGCCAATAGCTCTCTCTGAATCCGGTTTTCAGTGGGGTGGGTCACACCTAGCCCAACTCATTTTTAATGTCTTCATAATTAATTAATTGAAAATGTAAGTCACATCTATAACTTCACCATATAGGCGAGGCATGTACATCGTTTTTAATTTATTTAACGTTTAGTGTTTCTCCAAGTAAAATGTAATTTAATTTCCAAGCACTTCAACATCATGTAGAATTTATTTTACATGTCAAGACAAGTGCAGTTTTATACTTTTATGTTCTTCCTCCAATGGGGATACAAAGGAGAGAGTGCGTGCGTGTTTTCTGTGTGTGAGAGTAAGTGAGCATGTCTTTGTCATATCTGCCCTTCCATTACGTGTACTGATTAGCTGGAACGTTAGGTAGTTTGTGTCTTGGTCAAAGACATGTTCATTTTGATAATTTGTTTGCAATAGTGTCGCACGTAATCTAGAACGTTTTTCACCTAATTTTGATAATTGTTTGGAAGAATAATACTAACACACCTTATTTAGTTTAATATTTAATAACCTAGCTATTATAAATTTATAAGTTATAACGCCAGCTTAAATTTTAGTATTAAAATATTATTGAATAAATCGGTTCCGTACATGAGCCGTGTCATCCTTTTTTTTTGGGTCAACTTTAAGATTTCTTAATTATATATTTTTCCGAGAGTTTGTTATTTAATATTGCGATTGTTATATTTTAACGGTTAAATAGTATGGGTAGAAAAACTGGACCCAAACTTAGATGTAATAGATACTCTATAAGTGTCCGTCACTAGCTAGCATTAATCAATTTAATTACCCAGCCGTCTAGGGCTGAAAACTAACACATGCAATTCAATAATGGAGATGATGTTTAGTTTACAAACACAAATTGATCGACTTGGTATTTGTCAGTCATATCTCACGAATTTTCTTTGGAAAATTATATATATATATATATTTTTATCAAGCATATATTAAGAAACACGAATTTTCTTTAGAAAATTATATATATATATATCAAGCATTTATTAAGAAATAGTGGAGCATATTGCTAATGGTACGATAATTTGTAATCCATTTGCTGTCCAACTGTTTTGCGAAAAAAAAAAAAAAAAAAAAACTGTTTTATATTATATTCTACCATATTTGTCTATAAGAGTATTGAATTTCATTCACTTCCAATTAATTTTTGTAGATGTATATTATTCTGCCTGTTGTTTCTCCAAAGAAATCATCATTAGATAATAACAATAATATATATTTTTTTAAAAAAAATCTCATGAATATACATTTAAAAAATGGAATCAACTTTGTTTGACAATGAGAATGGTAATCAATCACTTTATTAGACATGAAGTTTTTTAAGAATGATAGTTATATTGTCAATTATTGTTGGAATTAGAACTAATAATAATGTTTTTTTTATTTATTTTGAGAGCATGCGTATAGGCTCCACTGAGACAACTTATAATAATGTTATGCCTATTAATTTTAAATTGAAACATATTACATTTAAATAATCAACCTATAAAATCTACGTGGCCCCATGTTAATTTGGCTCAAAGTTGATATGTCCATTCTATAGAATTTTGTTCAATATTAATTCCACTTCTCTTTGTCATTCAAGCTAGCTAGTCACGGCAAATACTATAGCATATGCCTCTGTTTTTCTGTGTGTGTGTGTGTATATATATATATAAAAGGTGGGAAATGATTTCTAAGATTCCGTGTAGATAAAGTAAAGCAAAATGTGTTTATGTTTCTTGATGAAGTTTGAACTTATACAATAGCATATGCCTCTGTTTATGTTTCCAATACAGTATATAATATATTATCTAATTTTGTGGTTATGTTTGGTTGTCCCCTTCCTCCCCGGTATGTTTAGGTCAGTAGGTGTGTGTTGCTTTTAATGAAGCCGTACTGCAAGTTAAAGTACTACAACGAAGGAGAAATATAAAAAAGAAAAAAATGACTTTGAGTGCTAGCTGCTTTGCAAGTGCATGCATCAGAATTAAATGATTTATATTTTTGTGCTGTATGAGTTATTATTTGTTTAATGACAAATATTTGAATTCAAAACATATGTATTTGAATCTCACAACAATCAATTTGAAGTTTAGACAAAAATATAGCACATTCAAGTGTCTCTTTGATTTAGTTTTTTAAGAACACTCCTCAAAATCTCATTAGACTGTTTCAGAAATTGTCAAAAAATCAAATATTTGTAATTTCATTTTTATTTTTCAAATCTCAAAAGTTAAAAAATTATTATCAGAAAACTGAAAAAAAAAATCAAGTACGTCTCCAATCTTTTCTCTTAACTGATGTGCAGCTAGAACAAGTCATGATGTATGTACATTGGATATTAGCTAGGGCACGCAATTCTCAAAATTGAACTGCCAACCACCAAGTAAAAGACATGCTTTAAAATAATAACAATGGCGTTGACACGTTGACTTATGATTATGATTGATACTGCATAAGCCACTGATTATATATTTAATTAACTATCACAATAACCATAAACAAATAAACCAAAGTTAGTTACCCTCAAATCTAATAGTTGCTTTTAACATTACAATATTAGTGATTCATGAAAAGTGGTGGCATGTATGTATTATATGTAATTAATATACCCTTTAAGGCCATGACTCCAACATTCAGCAAGGCTTCAAAGATTTAACTACACAGAGTCAAGTAGTACCTTCATATATATACACATTTTTACATACTTTAATTTGTAAATATATATATGCTCAAAGAGCTAGTGATGTCCTTCTCATGGCCAACCCTCACAATCAAGCAATGATGACAGGAACCCTAGATCTACAGTAACATTGTTGTCGAGACAATCATCCGTGACCCATTCCTTGAAAATTGGTTCATCAAAAGGCAGTGAATAGTTACAATCCATGGCCAAACAATCAGTAGCACTGCTAATTGCTCGAAGCTCATCTAAGCCGGTATCCAAGAAATTATTCGAGTTGCAAGAATGGGGAAAGTGCAGGCCTTCGGTTCCATAATCGTCGTTTAAACTGTTTGTAGTGTGGCTAATTTGATGACCGTGAAGCTCTGATGAATTTATGGCAGCTGAGTTTATGGAGTAGTTGTAATTTGGACTTGGGATTGCTGGGATAAGGACTTTGGTGCACCTTGTGGCCTTGGTTCGGATTGCTTGTGCTTGAGTGGTGGTTGGTGACTTGGTCATGGTACACTGTTTGGATGGTGGTGAAGTTGTTTGACCTCCAACTTTTTTTCCTAGAGTTGTGTTCCAGTAGTTTTTGATTTCATTGTCTGTTCGGCCCGGAAGCCTTCCAGCTATTAAAGACCATCTGCGTAACATCAAAATGAATAAATCAGCAAAAGTCTAAGTAAAACGTGCACACACTTACAATATTGTCCCCTAAACAGTACGTACTCGAATGCTAAGATGATGAACGAGACTTTAACGCGTGAAAGGTCGTGTTTTCAAGTTGTGAAGGGTACCAACCTGTTACCAAGAAGCTTGTGGAGTCTGATAATGAGCTCCTCTTCATCATGAGATATGTTTCCTCTCTTGATGTCTGGTCTAAGATAATTCAACCATCTAAGTCTACAACTCTTACCACATCGCTTCAGACCTGTAAAATTATATATATTTCAAAGCTCATATCATCAATCCATGTCTTATCAACATATGTCAGGAGAACACTCCATTAAAATGCCTCTTTCTTTATGGGTTTTTCAGTAAAAACAGACAAAAAGACACAGTAGAACTGCTAAAGAGAATGAGAAATAATCAAAACATACATACATACATATATATATATATATATATATATTGGTCAAAGTATATATATAATGCTAAGATTGATGTACCAGCTCTCTTGGGGAGGTTTCTCCAATTTCCCTCTCCATGGGCTTTGATGTAAGCTGTAAGTATTTTATCTTCTATGGCAGTCCAGGCTCCTCTGTTGAGTCCTTCCTTGGAGCAACATGGACTCCTCCCCATCTCTCTCTCTCTCTCTTTCTCTCTCTCTCTCAGATATTGAAAGGGTGTCAAGACCCTTTTATAGCAACACAATCAAGAATTAATGAAGGTGAAACAGAAATTCAAATGAACTAAAACTCTGAATTTTTTTAGTTAGGTAATGATTAATCAAGAAAATAAAGTCTAACAAGCAACTATTATTTCAAATAATGTAGATGGGGCTTGTATTTAAATGCTTTGAAAAAAGTAACACCATTAATGTAGCTTTCATATGTTCTGATAATGTAGTACAACTGGGGAAACACTGTTAAGTAATTTAAATGTGGTATGTGTATTTTAAACCCGAACGTAATGCACCATTACATATGTGTGGTTACGTAGGTTATATTGACTGTCTGGCTAGTTTTTAGTAATTTCAACTTATAATTCACAGTGACGAAAAATGTGTTTCTCATGAATATGTTTGCTCCCTGTAATTGTGGCTTTTTGAGAGAATCGATCGTCTTTTATCGCGGTGCACCCAATAATAATAATGGAGTTTTGGTGTAGTGAAAAGGTTGTTCCATTGTAACTTTGATTACAGCATGCAGGTGATATTGACAGTCTAGCTAGCTTTTGTTAATTTCAATTTATAATTCATGTGACTAGTATTCTCATGAATATGTTTGCTCCCGGTAACAGTAGCTTTTTAGAAAAATCGATCATCTTTGATGCACGGCTAGTTTAGCACATCTGAGATGAGAAATTAATCACGATTAATTTATTTGGCTTTTTAAAAGAATCTTTGACGCACGCCTAGTCATAGTTCATCTTTAGTGCTTCTTTATTATAATTAAGGTCTATGAGATATACCTAATCTTTATTTTATTGATAAATTGTCCTATCACTACATCAGTAAAAGTTCATCCTGTACTTACCCAAATAAGGAAGCACTAACTGGGATTACATAGAAGATAATTTTATTTTATATTGGATTCCCATTATAGTACTATTCATATTCTGTTACTACTATTATAATGAATCTCTCTCTCTTTACACATGTAGTTCAAAATCAATATATATATTTTGCTTCCCTATACGTGTATCACAATATCATAATAATGGTACCTTCCCAAAAAAAAATATCATAATAATGGCATTATTGCTCTCCAAGTTGATCTGTGCCGTTGCTCTCCAAGCTATTTATTTAAAAATAAAAGATGAATTATGGTTAATGTGTCCAATATATAATTTTTTGGGACTTGATATTAGAATCAGACTCACTTTTTAATTTGGTGTCACAATGAAATAGTTTTATGTTTGTGTACGAATGCATGTCACAAATTTTGGTGAAAAGGGATTGAGTATATATGAATCATATGTTAGCACAATTTAATAACTTAAATTTTTAAATCGGACTGCGAAACCTCTAACACGTTGCAGTCAGGAGTTGGGATTACAAAAAAAAAAACTGAAAGAATTCTACTTCACTAAAAAAAAATAGAGTAATGCTACTATAGATAATTTTTGTAATTATACCAATACAGACTTATTTTTATGTGAAATCGATTATGTATTGTGTTGCGTATATTTTTTAAAGATTTCAAATAAAACAAAAACAAATTTTCTTTAGTATGCTCTGTACCACTGTTTGACCTGAAAAACGTCATTTTGACACTGAATTGAAGAGTCGCTATTAAGAAAATCTTTAAAAACAGAGTAACCGTATTATGAAATATATATATATTTTATATTTGAGCAAGTATATGGACCACCCATATTATCAATAGGAGTAAGATCCATAAATAAAGAATGAATACAAATGACAGCCTTTTGATTCCTAAAAGATTCTGTTAGATTCCGTACAAAGACAAAACGAGGGCAACTATTATTAGCCGGTGGGATTTCCCTATTTTTGTCCTCAAATATGAAGCCATCACTAAAGAAGTCAGGAAACGTAAATGACTCTCCTAGTTTAAATTTTAAGGTTGGCCAGAGGGTAAGGTGGTCCTTTTCAAAATAGCTACAGCTTCTGAAACCATGAAAAAACATGCGTGCCCAACGAAGTGACATATTTTGTTTTTTTGGAAGCTACCCTTCTTAAGTGAGACATGCGTCCAACGAACCCACCCTTATTATTTTAGTGTATTCTATACGTCAATATCTAAATAATTAATAATATCACGTCATTGGGCACAATTAAATTTTTATTACATGAGGACGAAACACAAGTGAGAATTTTATATTTGGTTTTCAAAATCTAAGAACTTGTTTGATTTGTAGATATGGAAATAATTTTATGTTATCGAAAAATTAAAAATTGTACAAAAAATTTTATTTTGTTCAAAAAAATGTCCGTTTTCAGATAATGATTTTTTATAATTCTCTAAAAATTATTCTTTTTATTCTTAATTTTTGAGAATTATTTTTAGAATTATAAATCAAATATACCTTTTTTTTTTCTTGTTTTTTTTATTATTTATGATAGTGTCTAAAAAAAATTTCTAACTAAATAGTGTACAAATACGTGGCCTAAAGAGAGAGGAGGTATAAATGAAAACGATAATTGCTAATCACATTACATTGACATCATTAAGTCATCGAAGTAGTTGGACTAAGAGTCTAATTAAGACACGATCAAGCCTAACCAGACACAAAAATTTGTAGGTCCCATCAAACTGTGGTGGGCCTACGAGACTTTTAGCCTTAAAGTCAATCAACCTACAAAGGACTTACCTTTTTCTTTTTATGGTTCACTGTGTCAATGTGTAAATAAAGTAATGCAACAATTTACATGTTAGTAACAGTATTCAACGACGACTCTTGTCGACCACAAAATTTCAATAATTTTTTGAAAGAAATTAATCTCGGATTAGTAAAACAGGACCAAGGTGCATGAATGCATTGCTGGCATCTTGCCTTTTCAGAATAGATTGAAGAAGATTGATGAGGAGATGTACAAGGATGATTTTGAGCATACTTTCACACTTTAATTTCTCACCTGTAAGAGGCAATGCATGGTTATACAGACTCTACACATACTGGCCCCAAAATGAAAACTATTACTGCGTTTATATGTGTGAGTTTTGTCACACACACAGGTAGTCAATTCTTCACGCAACAAAGGTGAAAACAAATATGGTCAAAAGATTTAGAGAGATTATTAAGGACCGTTGGAGGAGCTTTCAAAGAAAAAACGATGAGAGAAATTATTGTATTCCGCAGCCTCATCTAACTTTCAATCCTCTGATATTATTTCAAAACTACCAAGTTTGGTTAGGTGCTTATTATAGTCTGTCTAGTCACGTTTAGGTCTCTCACCAAACCACTAAAGATTTGGGAACAACATAATTCAGCCAACATGGGATTGTTCTTTACACGCGAGACACATGCGAATAATCCTTGAATTGATAGGTGGGCAATGGAACTCTGCTCACGTGAATGAATTGAATTGACAAATTTTATGTCGATGGGTTGTTTATATCAGTCGAAATAATTTCATCATACGCGTTAATCATTTCAGTTGAGAAGCATTAATGGCAACCTAGCTTGTGATTATTTTTAATTGAATTTCTTAAAGTCCTTGAGTATTATTATTGTGGGGGCCATCAATTATAATTTTAGATGTCCGCTTCATCAGGGGATTAAATCAGATATCATTTCAAATATTTTTTTAGTATATTTGGGCCTGTTTTTTTTAATTCAATTAAGGTTCTTTCCAGACCTAGCCTAAAAGTAATCCAACAACAAAAATGGACCAGCCCTACATAATATTCATATATGATGAATTGGACCATGGTTTGGCCCATATATGCAGAATCATAATAATGTGTTGAGCTCTAGGGGTGTAGGTTGGGCAAGTCGAGGGGTTGATCCCAACTCAACCCAAAGTATAAAACCTTCAAGTCGGGCGGTCGGAGCCCGACTTGACGAGACTCACTCGAGTACAACCCAAGCCTATTTTTTTAAACTCGAGTTTGGCACAGGTTGACGAGGTTACACTCAAGTTGGTTTGATTAAACTCAAGCAAAGATCAAGACAGGCTCGTGTTGATCTCACATTATTTATATTTCAGTAAGAATGTTGTTACTAATAATAATATAGGTCAGGCTACCGAAGGGCATCTAACCAGTGGTATAACCTCTCACTCATTAAAGTGGATGTGTTTCTTACCAATGAAAAAAATATTCAGTGCTCGACACCTCTGCAAAGCCTAAATTTTGAATCCGAATAACAAAAAGACTTGATCAAGACATAAAAAAAAAAACTAAGTTTAACCCGCCCCAAGTGCACCTACTAGGAGGAGCACAAGGTTCTTCAAGCCCATATGTCAATGTTTATGGGCTTCTATGGCAAAACCAATAAAGCTTGTAATCAAGCCAGCCTTGTAAGCCAATATAAATTGAGCCCATTTGGAGCCCATTTTTCACTAATTAACTTGATTCTTTATTTGTGTGTTCTAGATTAACTAAAAATCAAAGATCCATTTAATTACGATTAGAGAATATTTTCAACCTTTGTTAACTTTGACATATACCTATTTGCACAGTTGGCAAGTGTAACATAATCAAATGTCTGCCACCTAGGCTGAGAATGGTTTCAGATTGTCAAGGTGATGGACCTTGGGATCTATTTGACATTTTCTTGGGCCATTGATTGGGATCGATGGGACCCACATGTTTCGTGAGAAGGGGCCAAATCACCATGTTTTAGCTTCAATGCTAATCCAATGTTACCATTAGCTAATCATAGTTAATCATCGAAGTTGTAAATTAACTAAGAAACAGGTCTAGACAAACACAAGCTGTCAAGGATTCTATTTAGAACATGACCATATTTAGTCCAATGATAGTGAAGATTTTTGGAATGGTGTTGGTATAAAAATTTAATCAACAATCTCAATAATAATAGTTTAGGTGACACGTAAAACGAGAGCGTGATAATGATAAAATTTAAATCATACAAAGTAAGAGAAGAAGAAAAAGTAAAAACACACTTGAAACATAAAAACCAGAGGTAGTGAAAACACAAGCGAAACATTAATTATAAAAAATTGTGTAACTTGGATAATACCATCTCATTTTGCTGACATGATATTTCTAACTAAATAACTTCTGATATATAATTATATAGAGTCACTCAAGTAAATAAAATACGTGTATTTAATCTAAATGTCACGTAATCACATATTTATATGGAGTGTATTTTCTGTGTGATGCTATGTTTGGTTGGAGGAAAGGATTGAGAGGGGATGGATGAGAAAAGAGATAGATAAATATTTTTGTATTTGGTTGAAGGGTGTGGAGGAAATGAGGAGGGATGAAGCTTCTCCCTCCTTCCTTTATGTTTTTTTATTTGCTCATTTTTGGGGGGAAGAGCGGAGAGAAATAAGGCATAAGCGGCATAATTACCTATAAATTTATAATTTACAATTTTAACTTTTTAAAAAATTTTGAAATAAATATTTAACTTTTATAATTTTATATAAAAAGGTGCATTGGTAAAAATAATATAAGAATTTGCATTCTCTTCCTTCCAATCAAACATGAAAAAAGTATAACTCGATCATTTCATCATTTATACTATTCATTCTATTCAACAAAAAAAAAAAGGGGGGGGGGGAAACATAACCTTCCTTCTCTAAGAATACCTCATCCATCCATTTTCTTATTTCTTTCATCCTTTTTTTAATCTGTCCAACCAAAGGAAGCATTAATATTTTTAATTGGGTTAGGATGACAATTGTGGGAAAAGCTAGTATTTATTGTGCTATAAATATAATGTAGTACCAAGGGAGGCAACAAGTCGTCTAGGTGCATATATAATTAATGTCGTTTTTTATGGCAGTAAGGAGAAAAACAAAAGGACAAGAGAAAAAAAGAGCCAACAATGATAGTCTCATTCATTAGGTATCAACCCAAAACCAACCAACAGCTTCCACGACCTGCTTTGTTAATGTTTTATCCCAATATAGCAGTTTTATTCATATTTGAGCCAGCTGCTACCACTGCCTTTAAATGACAATATCATCAACTATAAGGGGAGTATAGGTGTTTGATTTTGCCAATCGCCATAGTAGTTCCGCGGTTGAATTGTTCTTCGTTGTTCTTGTAAGTCCGATTTTAAACCGTGCACCTTTAATTTTATTTATAATGTAATATTTGAAGCACCAAATATTTTATTATACTAGCACTATTGTGTGCTGGTTCCATTGCTATCTCTGCCACAAAAGAAAAATAAAAAATAAATAAAATAAAGGTAAACTGCAAATAATAATAATATCAATAACTTTAACATTTTACAAATTACCTCTTATTTAAAAATAGTAATAAAAGAGTCACAATACAATGTCCTAAAGTTGGATACATCCCACCGTATATATGTGAGTGGAAATACAGTCGAATTGGTTGACTCTCGAATCACTTTTATCATTTTTCTTAAAAAAAGTACCCTTAAACTTTCACTAAATCATTTTTCTTAGTGGTATTTCTCTCCTTTTAAGAATAGAATGTCAAGGGTTCAAGTAAATACCCATTGATATTTGATAGCTATAAAAGAATTAAACTCCATATAATAGAATTGGTGTTTTAAAATTAGAAACATTCATTCTCCAGATCTAATTTTAAGACACCAATAATACAATTACATGCTATTAAATAACATATTCTATGAAATAACCCCCCTGATAACTTTTTTTTTTTTTTTTTTTTTCTCTCTTTACCAGTATATATATCTTTATCATACTTGACATTTGTTGTAATGCACAAGGACATTTTCGTAATGTCATATTCTATAATTTTTATATTTAATTACTTGATGACTCAGTTGCTGAGCTTTCAGTTGTATAGCAACTTGTAAAAGTGTAAAAAGTTGAATGAGATATTTATTTATTTATATATATATATATATAGTGTAAGCATGGTATCACCCTGTCTTCCATGGAGAGAACATGTTAGAGAAAAGTGAGGAAAATAGAGATGACTTTGGCCAAAAACGCAATAGTGTTCCCATTAGACTTGATGAAGTTGCGCGTGTGAGAGAAGGAAACTTCATAGCAGACCAATCTATGTCGTCACAGTCAAAACTATAATCATGTCATACCATTACAATAACCTTCAAAACGACGTTCCGCCACCACCACACGGCGCCGTTTCATGTTCACCCTTCTTTCGGCAGAAAAGTCAATACAAAACGATTTCTCATTACCAAGGGTATATTCACTCGAATCTAAGATGAATCAAAAAAACAAATTAATTGGTTCAACAACTTCAAAAACAATAAATTTTGATTAAATTCAATAGTAATGATTAGTTCTCACTACCATTTTTTATTTTTAATACACAAATATATGTGTATACTATTAATAATTGTTTATACATTTTATATCTTTTCATTTTATATTTAAATTAGAAACAAATTTACTTTTTTGAATTAAATAAGAACGACAATGTTACTGTATTAGTTATTTCGTTGAAGAAAAAATAAGGAGACCATACTTGCCGTAGTGAACTTGAACCTTGAGAAATAGGCAATTAACTTTTATTTATTTATTTTAGTATAATATTATTATGCACCTTTAGAATACTTGTATACATATAAATATATGAATAATTTAGAAACTATAATTTTTGTTTAATCGTTTTCTACTAAAAAGGGATGCGTGTTTGCCATGTTACTTCTAGAATGTGACTTTTTTTTTTTTTTTCTTTTTCTTTTTCCAATCCATATTTTTTGTTAAATGTACTTTATATCACATGGTTTATAATTTTTTGAAGAAAGAATATTCATTGCTTGAACAATATTGTAAATAGTGTAATACATTATTATCTAATTTCTATGCATAATATTTGAGCAATTAAATATCACCAAAACTACTTACTGTATTATTTATTCATTTAAGTCTTATTTTCATAATTAATAGCGCATTAAATTGTGTAACTACTTACTCTTGTGTGATGTTTCTTTGTTTGACAACAATTAGTTTAAAAATCACGATTTGATAAATTTTCTCAGTGTTGTTAAATTATATTAAAAAAAAATTATCATCAAAATGTTTAATAAATTAAATTGTGTCATTAATTCAAAAGATTAATTTTGTAACGTTGATTCAAATTAGATTTTTAATCATGTGCAACTCGTGCATTTTTATTAGTACTAGATAGCTACGAAAAACAAAAATGAAATTTTATCTTAAAAGAAAAAAAAAAAGTTGTAGCAAGAAGTAAACCTGAAATACGACGTCGTGTTTTAGTTGTATTTTAAAATTCAAAGAAAAGAAAAAGAAAAAAGGGACAGAGAAACTGAAAACTCAGAAATAATTTCTTGGCTTCAGTCTTGGTAACAGCTGCCCGAAACTTCCGTATAAGTACGATTTTTCACACAGAGAGAGAGAGAGAGAGAGAGAAAGGGAAAAGAGACATTACCATTACATTACTAGTGTTGCCATTACCCGCCGATCTTTTCAAAGTAGAAAGAGAAGACGCACAGACGAAGAACCAAAGATCCGATCAGATCTACTCAAATCAATCTCTCTCACTCCGTCGATTCTCTCTCTATATCTATATTACGTATATATATCTACTACACCTTCATCTCTTGTCGATTATATTCGTTGTTCTAGCTAAATAAAAATCCATTCTGTTTCTACTCCCTCTCTCTCTATATAGTTTTTGTTTGTAAATCCACTCGGCCGAATCGATGTGCCATTTCTAGGGTTTTTTATGTGTCAAGTTAGGGTTTTTATTTCAGGAGGGTGAGATATGTGTGAGAGAGATCTTGAATTAGGGTTTGCAAAGGCCTCACCTTTGGGGCTTTAATTGCACAGTTTTTGTTGTGCGAGTGCATGAAGATTTGGTGTTGTTTATGTTTCGGCGAGGAAAAGGAAGAAGATAATAAAGAGATGATGAGGAGGGAGGGCATTTTTGGAAAAGAGAGTGAAGAAGGAAAGTCTGAGGATATGGAAAACGATGAATCTGGTAGGGGTAGATTTTCATTGGAGAGGTTTTCTGAGTTACGGCCATTGGCGGATGATGTAGATGGAGAGAGTGCTCACTCTCTTGGTGGTGATGGTGCTGGAAGTTCGGATCAGTTCGCCTCCGCCTCCGGTAGTGGTCAGGACATGGTGGAGCTTAATTTGGCTTTGGCTTTGGCTGGAGAGCCTTCGTCCTCGTCACCTGCATTGGACGCAGAGAATTTTCTTCGGGATTCTCATAGTAAACGTCCTAAAGTTCATTCTTTTTCTCTGTGAGGACCCTCTCTCTGTGTCTATCTGATTTTTCTTGAAATTAAGTATCTAATTGATTGATAATGCATTTCTTGGTTCTTGATTTATCTGTCTGAAGAGCAACAGACACTATAACTAACTTTATTACTCGTATGTTATATGATCATGTACATATTTTGGTTGTAGATAATATTATTAATTGAGGAGGGTGACTAATATCCCTAGGGCAGGAGGGTGACTAATCTGGCAATTATTCCATTCCTCAATTCTTCCCAACAATTACTTTTAGATAAATATGAAATAGAAGAGACAAATTAAACTTCAATGGTTAATGTAAATGAGAACTAAATTAAGTGATTTCAAATCAGGTACAACAATTTCTTAAATGATCTAAATTCATAATAGTAAGAGTCCATTTCTAGGATGCAATGGGTTTAATGTTTTTCGGACTTGGACATGCACTTGGAGTGCATTGTGTTATGTGATCCGAATTTTGTTTTGGCTTTTGACTCGAAAATGGGGAATTTTTTGACTTGTCTTATCCTCCATTTTTTTTCCCCTTCATACTCATTTTTAAAGCATACATGGTATAAGCCAGGATATCTCCATTTTTAAATTCCTTCAATCCAAGCATAGTGTCTGTTAAAAAGCTTCCATCTCAATGAAATGGTGTTGACCCACTACCTCAAACATTATTAAATCTTCCAAGAGTGATCTATTATGACTAACAGTTCATGGAAATAATGCCCCAAACTCATTAAGAGCAAACCCCTTTATTAAATCACCACAGCTATGAGCACTAACACCACGCCATAGGAATAGGAATAGGGAATATCTTAAAATTTTTAGTTTTCTTATCAGCTTCCCAGTAAATTCTTCTTGCTCATTGAACCTCCTTCATGGTATCTCCAATTATAATGGTTAGATGAGTTTCTATTCCATTCACTCTTAAGTACTAAACCTGAGGAATCCATTTTACAAACAGCACTTCCCAAAATAAGAGTTCCATTTTGGACTCAATTTTGATAGGGCATGTTTAGTCATGTACTCCATGAAATGTTAGAGCCGGCTTTATGGAATATAAATGTTTACATTGTTAATTTAGAATAATTGGATTACACCTATTAGATGGACCATCTATTTATTTAAACTGAATCTCACCCTCACATATCTATAATTTCTATGACATAGTGATTGTTACTTGTATGAATACTCTGTGTGTGCAAGTAGCAAAAGAACTTCATATATATAAACTAGAAAATGTAATAGAAGTAATTCAAGACATGAGTGGCTAAGAACCAAAATTTATATAGGTTACTAAACAACCTAAACTGGAGGAACAGGAAACATCCACCATACGAGGAAAATGCCTCTGCGAACACCACAACTTGTCACAAAAAGATTGCCATCTTACTAGAAACACACATCTGAAGTGGCTTGTAACCAATAAATCTATCATCAAACCAGTTCTAAAATCACATAATTCATGTGGACCAATGCCCCATCCCCATCTCTACTTAACATCAAGATGTTTGTAAAGTGCAAAACTGACTAGAAACTTGTTAATTACTCGGATTGTGTGTTGTAATGTAAGAATTGTGAACTAAAAGATCTATCTCAAGACTGTTAATATGGTTCATTAGGATGGAAAGCTTGCCCGCAATGAGGTATTTTCAAATTCTTAGAGTCCCTACATTCATTAAACAGCAAAACCCTAATATTATTATAATTATAAATCATGTAGGGGATTGTTCTGCTTTATTTTAATTTTGTTTCATTTACATTAATTGTTGAAGTTTTAGTTTAACTTTTCTACTTCATTTATCTAAAAGTACCCGGTGGGAGAAGTTGAGAATGTTGTGACCAATGAAGCTGTATTAGACCTGCATTCCCATATATTGTTATCTCAGTAGTCAATTTTCTCTTAAACAACAAATAAATTCTGCTAGATAAAGGCACAATGGTTTATTTTTATTTTTTTGATGTTATAATTGTTTCATATTTTGATTGCCAAACTTATGATTAAAATGTGGTTGAAGAAATGTCAAATTGAAGTATGTTAAGTTCAGCCTCGTAGTCGCACCCTTCTAGTAATATGCCATAATATCTGACTCTTGGCAGAATGAACGATGGAATAGAAGAATGTTCTACCCCACCATAATGGGAGAAATCATTTCATGTCACCGGCACACAAGCTGTGTGATAACTAGCATGATTCCACCATCAACTGTGGGTCCCATATAGGGCCAGTAGATGCTGAAACCACAGTGGCTGTCACATTGAATAGTTTTTCCCAATAATGAGTCTTTCTAACACAGCGACTTTGTGGTTTGACATATATTTATTTTGGTACCAAGTATTAATTGTACTGCTTTCTTAATCTGAGTTGATATTTTTACTGTTTCTGATGTCATGGATTCATGTTTTAATGAGCATTACTTGTGAAAAGAAACTTCCTTATGCATTGGAAATCTGATACATATTTACTGATGGAACTTGAAATACATTGTATGCTGAATCTAACATGGGATTTTAAGATTGACATGTAAGATACATTATTATGGTGGGTTTGAATTGTGATGATGGAAACCTTTGCAGAGACTGGGATTGCCATTTTGCAGCTGCTGCATCTTCTGATATTGACAATTATATTTTGCATGGGAGGGACTACAATAATCTGGCTTCCTTTACCAGTGGTACACATGGTCTTTCTCCAATGTTAAATGATAGTGGTGAAGAGAATCTCCTTGATTCTAGCAATAGGAGGGAAGATGGTACTTCAAAAATGGAAGATTTAGAAGTTCGAATGGATCTTACTGACGACTTATTGCATATGGTACCATTGCCTTGGTTTTGTAGGGAACTACTTGTTACTGTTTGCTTCTAACACTTAGTTGATGCTTTCTCAACACTGTCCTGTGTTGTCAGGTTTTCTCGTTCTTGGACCACATCAATCTTTGTCAAGCTGCTAGGGTCTGCAGGCAGTGGCGGGCAGCTAGTGCCCATGAAGATTTCTGGAGGTTTTTGAATTTTGAGAATAGGAACATTACCGTACAACAATGTTAGTATTATTTTTATGTTGTGCTAAACTGCCATTTTATTTGTTTAATCATTTTTTTTTTTGGAGGGGTGTGTTTATTTCAACATAAACTTCTTGCTTTCTTATTGTGCCCAAGAATTTGTTAGACATTTTTTTTTTTTAATAATCTTTTTCTTCAAGCCTACCCCATAGGCTAAGCTCTACAATTTCCTTACTCCTGCATGGAAGTCATATCCCTCCACTAGAACTTAAACCCTGAACACAACCTGATGGGGCATCAATTGATACCGCTTGATTTAGATAGCGTGTGGTTTATGTGATACCTTATAAAAAACTTATGGAAGTGTTATGGAGAATTTAGCTTATGATCTATTATATTTATGTACGTGTTTCTATTATATTTATGTATGTGTTATATAATATAATAGGAACAAAATTGTTTGATTAGAAGTCTAAGGGAAGCTTTATAACGGACTGGAGACATAGTCAACATTGAGTGTCAAGAGATACCGAAAAGCGAGCATTATGATCACCTAGACTCAACTATGCACAGAGAGGGAGAAATTGGAGATGGCGTTAATCATAAGAATAAAGAGGGATGCATTAAATGGAGGAGTGCTTATAGCATATTGACACTTATTAGACAGACACATAATGTTAGGCGGCTGAGAAACAATATATTCATAAAATGAGTATATTAAAAATGCAAATGTTGAGATATATGTGGGGCAAGAAGAGAGGATAAAATTTGAAATTAATGTATTCGGTGAGATGGTTGAACTAGCACAAATTGGATATAAATTGAAGAAAATTGATTAAGAAGATTTGTTCACGTGCTGCAACGGCCAATAATTGCACTGGCTAGGAAAAAATGAAGTGGTTCTTATTGAGGGTACTAGTGGAAGGGAGAAACCAAAACTAACATGCGTTGAGATAGTTATAAAACATATGATAGCACGTGCTTACAGCTTTAAATGGCATGGGATAACAGAACATGATTCATGCAACTAAACCCCAAATAGTTGGGAAAAGGCTTAGTTGAGTTGACTTGAATTGTGTGAAAGCGATATCCAGGAAATTCAAAGCTGATGTGATATGCAGTACATACTATATTCTAGCAGGTAGTAGGTACACTTGCAGAATCACAGTATAACATGTGTTGTCATTTAAAATTGTAGAAATCAGCGAGGGGAAAATATAATTGATGAAGGTATGGGTTGGTGCGAGATTTATGGTGGAAGGTGGATTTAGTTAATTGTTAACCTAATATCAGTGTTATTATTTACTTATAAAATATATGTGTATTAGTGTTACTATTTGATTTTATTATGGTGGAAATTTTTCTTGGAAGGAAAGTTATATTCAAAGTTCATAATCCGTTGTAGTTTCACGAGTCTAGACTTTGGGGTTCCATCTCCCTTTCATCTCTTAAAAAGTTAAGAGATTGAGAATTATCCTTATACATTTCACATTTTCACCAGTAATTTTCAATGCTATGCTATAGATTAATGTTTTATTTCCAAGGGGAAATGGGTGAGAATTGGGTTTACACCAACAGAACCAAGGTTAGTGTGGTTAAGGGCAAAATGCATGTTTTATGGAGAGAAATTAATTAGTTATTCTACCAAAATAATTCCCTCTATTTTGCTATCCTATATTTTTGAACTTGAAAAGATGTGTATTAGTATTTGTTCTTTGCAAAATACCAAGTGGCTACCATAATGCTCACTGGTTATGTGCATTTGCAGTTGAGGATATGTGTCTCCGCTATCCAAATGCCACTGAAGTTAACATTTGTGGTGCTCCTTCTATTCACTCACTTGTTATGAAAGCAGTTTCTTCATTAAGGTAAACTGTCCTTCATGTTGTTGCATAGTTATTTACAGAAGCATGTTAGTACTGCTGCTGATATATCCGATGATTCTCAGAAATCTCGAGGCTTTAACCTTGGGGAAAGGACAACTAGGGGAACCTTTTTTCCAAGCCCTAACAGAGTGCCATATGTTGAGAAGTTTGATTGTTAATGATGCTGCTCTAGGCAACGGTATTCAAGAGATACCCATATACCACGAGAGATTGCGGCAGCTTCAAATTGTGAAGTGCCGTGTGCTTCGTATCTCTATCAGGTGATTAAGTAGCTATTAATTAGGTAAACATCATATATGGTTGACTTCTTTAAATTTTGTGTTAAAAGTATCATGTATTGCAGGTGCCCGCAGCTGGAAACCTTGTCTTTGAAGCGCAGTAGTATGGCACATGCTATACTCATCTGCCCTCTTTTGCGTGATCTTGATATAGCTTCCTGCCATAAGCTTTCAGATGCTGCAATTCGTTCAGCAGCAACATCATGCCAGCATTTAGAGTCTTTAGATATGTCAAATTGTTCGTGTGTTAGTGATGAAACACTTCGTGAAATAGCCCTAACTTGTGGTAATCTCCATGTTCTGAATGCATCCTACTGTCCAAACATCTCTCTTGAGGTAAGTTTTTGTGGCCTTCAAACAGTTCTATTGTTGTGATCTTTAGATAATACTTTTTGATGACAGTTTCTTACTTTTCTTGGAAGTCTGTAAGACTGCCAATGTTGACAGTTCTCAAGCTTCACAGTTGCGACGGCATAACTTCAGCTTCCATGGCTGCAATATCTCATAGTTACATGTTGGAGGTTTGAACCCTTTCACTTGTTTCAACTACTGGGGTTGCCTAGATGTTATTAATGAATTTTGTGTAATGTTGTGAAAAAATTCTGTCTTTTATAGGTTTTGGAACTTGATAATTGCAGCTTGTTGGCATCAGTGTCCTTGGAGCTTCGACGTCTTCAGAACATAAGACTCGTGCACTGTCGCAAGTATATTTTGCTACCTCATTCAAAATCTTTGCTTTTTTTTTTTTTATATTTTATTTATTTATTTATTTTTTTGTGGGTAATCTTGTCACAGTCAGTAATTTCTTGTTGCTATTGTGCCTTCAGGTTTGTTGATTTAAATTTACGAAGTCTCATGCTGTCGTCTATTACGGTGTCCAATTGCCCTTCTCTCCAACGTATCAACATCACATCAAATTTGCTTCAAGTATGCCATTTCGTTTAACTAGTTAGTTAAGTTCATGCCTCATAATCATTTTGAAAGAGGTAAAATCCTAACGAATGATTTATTCGTTTTGTTTTCATGCAGAAATTAGTGTTGCAAAAGCAAGAAAGCTTAACAACATTGGCATTGCAATGTCAGTGCTTGCAAGAAGTGGACCTTACAGATTGTGAATCTCTGACAAATTCCATATGTGAAGTTTTTAGCGATGGTGGTGGATGCCCTGTGCTAAAATCATTAGTTCTTGATAACTGTGGGGTGTGTGAATTGTAGCTCTTTGCAATTTGCTTATTTCATGATTTTGTCCTGCTAAAATTATTAGTTCTTGATAATATGCTGGCCTGACATGATTTTCGAACTTCCCATGCATATTTCGTTTAATCCTTGGATTAATTCTCTAGAATACAGATTTGCTTGTTGATGGTGATTCCACACCATTTCATTAAAATAAGTTTTTGCATTGGCAACCTTCTTTTTTTTTTTTTTTTTCCTCCTGAACAAATTATGAGAATCATTTCGACATTTTTAGTGTTGAGCACTACAAGATTCTGTTTGTTTGGAATCTTATTTTCTCCCACCCATATGTGTTTGTGGGTTATGGATTTGTGGCTGCACCAGCCTGGTTTGCTCATGCTTGATACTGATACTTATAGTATCATGTAATTTTTTCTTCATTGGTTGTGCATTTGCTCTTTCTTGGGAAATTATTACTGAATATGATTGCTTGTCTTTGTTCAGAGCTTGACGGCTGTTGGATTCTGCAGTACTTCTTTAGTTAGCCTTTCCCTTGTTGGTTGCCGGGCTATTACTTCCCTTGAACTCAAATGCCCTTATCTTGAGCATGTTTCTTTGGATGGCTGTGATCACCTCGAAAGAGCATATTTTTGTCCTGTAAGTGAAGATGAAAAAAAAATGGTACTATTTGATTTTTTTTTTTATATATGAACATTTGAGTTACTATTCTTTGTTGGGGTCAAAAACCTCCTTAACTGACAGATCCATTTTGCAAGTTCGCTTTTAAGGTCCCACAAAAGATCTTTACATTATTTCCATGAGTTTTTTTGACATTTGAATTATGCTATGTACGTCTGATTTAGACATTGAGATACTTTTAGCAACCTGTCTGTGTATGTCACATGATTTATACTGTATGTCAATGCTATGTGATGTGGTATTACTTAATGATATATATTGTATGCCAATGCTGTGTGATGTGGTATCACTTCATCTGATTTGATTATTGGCATGCCTTTTGCAACGTGCATGGCATCAAGCATTTGGCATTTGACATTTGACATTTGACTTGTACCTTGAACTGCCAGGCGTAACGCTGAAAGTATGTTTTTGTTGCAGGTTGGTCTTCAGTCACTGAATTTGGGAATATGTCCCAAACTTAATGTACTCCATATTGAAGCACCACGCTTGGTGTTACTTGAGTTGAAAGGATGCGGTGTATTATCTGAAGCTTCCATTGCTTGCCCTCTCTTAACGTCTCTGGATGCTTCCTTTTGCAGGTCATGTTAATTTCTTTGTGTTTGTTAAGCCCGGGTCCCTCCTCTCCTCTCCTCATGCTCAAGCTGACACTTTTTTTTTCAGCCAACTCAAGGATGATTGTCTGTCTGCAACAACTGCATCATGTCCTCTCATTGAATCATTAATATTGATGTCTTGCCCATCTGTTGGTTCTGATGGGCTCTTATCTCTGCGATGGCTTCCAAATTTGACATTGCTTGATTTATCCTACACTTTTTTGATGAACTTGCAACCTGTTTTCGAGTCCTGTTTGAAGTTAAAGGTATTTCCCATATCCAAGTGTATGCATTTGTCCGGTGCCCTTATGGCGCAGCCACTATTACTGTTTAATGAGTGTTATTATACGACACATGCGCAAAAGCCATTACTTAGTACCCTTCTTTTTTCTTTTCTTTATTTTGGGGTAAATAAATTTCACATTACTTAGTATCCATCTTCCCACTGGTGCTGGGAGAAGACTGGAGACAAATCTATCCTTTGTCATTATTTTGGCTTCTCTTAAAGTTAAATTTATGTCCTAACACTTGTCGGTCCAAGCTTTTTACACCAAGCAATGGATCCTACATGTACATACACGTCCATAAATAATTAAATATGTTATTGATTTATTGATACATGTATTAAGATAACATAGTTGCTTTAATTTAATGCTAGAGGAAGTTCATCTGGGTCTGTCAGGCTTTGGGTGTCTTTAAATTAGTTTGGAGCATAATCTTCTTTTTTGCCATTCAACTCTCTCTTGAGTCGTATATAGTATAGAGCACGAATCGTAACTCGTTTACCTTCTCTTATCAAGAGAAAGAAAAACCCTACCAATTGCTCTTAACTAAGTTGATAAGAATTGTTGGATCCTCTCCTTTTGATGCACTTCAATTGAATGGCTGGTTCTAGACTTCTAGTCCATATTTTTCTCTTCTTCAAAATTGTGAAATAATCTGTTTTCTGAGTGCATGATAAGAATCTTTTGACTGAGTGATTATGGTGTCGGCAAGGAAGATAGTAGTGTTTTAATGTGGTGAGTGAACATTATTTATGTGAAATGAATAAGCTAGACTTCCAATTTGCCTCAAATTAGGGGATAAAAGTTTCCATCACAAGAGAAAGTGGGTATTGTGTTTGACCAGGCATCTTGCTTTCATTCATTTATACTCTTCTATCACTTTAAAATAGAGTAGTCACGAGGTCCACTTTCAGTTTGTGTGCTTTTATATCTCCTTTCCGTGGGTTAGAGTACAACTAAGTTTGTTTACATCGTTTATATTTCTTGTTCTTCTTTCTTTACCTATTCTGTGTACTGATTCCTTTTTTCCTTCTTTAAGGTTTTGAAATTGCAAGCATGCAAATATCTCACTGATTCATCACTGGAGGCTCTTTACAAAGAAGGTGCCCTTCCCTCCCTTTGTGAGTTGGACTTGTCATATGGTACCCTCTGCCAGTCTGCCATAGAGGAGTTACTTGCTTTCTGCACACATCTAACTCATTTGAGCTTGAATGGATGTGTGAATATGCACGACCTGAACTGGGGTTTTAGTGGAGATCAGCTTTCTGAGCTGCCTAGCATCTATGGCTCATCTGGCTCATCTTCTCAAGATGATATCCACGTGATGCTTGAGCAGCCCAATCGTTTGTTGCAAAATCTCAACTGCGTTGGTTGCCCGAATATTAAGAAAGTTCTCATTCCTCCAATGGCACGTTGTTTGCACTTGTCATCATTAAATGTTTCCCTGTCTGCAAATTTGAAAGAAGTTGATATTGCTTGTATTAATTTGTGTTTTCTTAATTTGAGGTATGTTTTCGGGGCGTTTTTTCCTTCTTTTTATTCGATTGTGCTTCTTTCTGGTTCTTATATTGTTAAATCCACCAAGGTTCTTAACATTTTTTTTTTTCATTCAGCAATTGTTGCTCCTTGGAAATTTTAAAGCTCGATTGTCCAAGGTTGACTAGCCTTTTTCTTCAGGTGTGTGACAGTCCTCCTATAGTTGAAGTTCTTAATTGTCGCTTCTTTGAAATTTTAAACTACTTGTGCACGCACGTGCATGTTTGTATTGTTGATGAGGAACTTTTTCTTGTCAGAACATTGAAATTGCATCACACAGGCTTTTCTCCAAGATCTCTTGGGTGGAAAGTTTGTGAGTTTGGAGGGGGGAAGGAAATTTGTCTCTTTACTGGAATGCCTTTAGTTCCATAATTCATTGGTTAGGTTGGTTCTGTAAAGGCATCATTTGTGTGTGTCCGTGCAGTAAGCTTTGAGCTTGTTTACTGGTTATCTATGCAATAACTCATTTCTCATCATTGGTTAATCATTCAAAAGTATTGTTGGGTCCATTTATCTAATCTGTAATGATTTATATTTATCCTTATACAGCTCTGATTTGTTTTATCTAGCTCCCTGATTTTCTTTTATTTTGATTGCTGCATCTTCTCTGTCTCTTTAGTCTTGCAACATTGATGAAGAAATGGTTGAAGCTGCTGTATCACAATGTACCATGCTGGAGACTCTTGACGTCCGCTTTTGTCCAAAGGTGAGTGTAATTAAAGGTCTTCTAAACTAAATAACAAATTTAATAAAATTTCCTTTTTTTGGTACCTAAGAAGCACGGACACGGACACGACACGACACAGACACGGCAAATTCAAAAAACTAGGACACGGACATGGCGGGGACACGGCGAATAGTATATATATATATATATATGTGATGTAGTACTTTAAAAATTATTGAGTGTTACTATTTTTCATCAATCTCACAATGAAAAAAAAAACTCAAATCATAACTCATAACTAATAAACCATAAAAAAAAAATGTTGCATAGTTAAAAAACCAAATAAAAAACAAGACATTAATAATAACTAGTATCATTTAATCATCATTGCAACTTTACTCCAAATACAAAAGCATAAACAGAAAGGACTATTAACATTCATGACTATTTAACATTCAGGACTTTACTGTTAGCACTTAACATTTACAAAAACCTATAGGGTAGTCCCCAAAAAAGATACAAAAACAAGTCAGTATACTATCATCTATTCCCATCCATCATTTGACCCAGGACTTTTACCATTTACAATACCAAAAGGGTAATACAAAGCAAAAAAACAGGACATATCAGCATTAAAAATTAAAAAAAAAAAAAAAAAAAAAAAAATTTCCAGACACGTGTGTCCGCGGAGTGTCTGTGCTGTGTCCGAAAATTTTAAAAAATAAAAAAATTCCAGACACATTTTTGGTGTGTACGACACGTGTCGGACATGGATTCTTAGCCCATTTTGGCGTGTCTGTGCTTCCCAGATTGGTGCAAAACAACTATTGATTTACCTTCGTACTCTAGTCAATTGTAAGTATTTTTGTTGTTTAGAATTTTGTAAATATTTATTTTAGAAATATTCTCTCCAACTAATAGATATGCTCGGTGAGCATGGGAAGGTTACGTTCAGCATGCCCCGGTTTGAAGCGCATCTTCAGCAGCCTGTCACCCACATGATACATCCGCGTAATCGTTGTCTTTCTTTGAGTGCTTGTATGCTTTAGTTGCACGAGGTAGCTAGCATGAGGCCCTCTAATGTATTTGTAAATGTCCAGTCGTCAGTTTGTTGCTATTATATTTGGTTGTAATGTTTACTTCACGTTGTTCTTCTGATTTGAGCGAAACAATAAGCCTTGTTCTTTATATATTAATCATTATTGTTTGTCCATCATCAGTTTGTGTTTTGGGAGATAAAACGATAATGACAGGACTGGTTGCAGTGTCATATTTTCCTTTTGTTGGTGTTGGGGATTGTTATTACAGAGTAATTTTTGGGTTCCTTTTAGAGGTAAGTTCTCCATATCTTCTGCATATGAGGAACCAAGGCCCGAGAAAGACACCTGTGGATGGCATTAAACTGCTGTGGTTCCATGGAGGAGATTTTATGCTTTTTCGTCTTACGGTTGGCTGTCCAAAACAAACTCTCCACCCAGGCTAAAGCTGTTGAAAATGGGTTTTGAGAGGCTTTATCCAGGTCACATTCGTCTGTTGTTTGGTGTGGAAAGGGAGGGCAATCATACCCCTTCCTACTGTTCCCTACCTTTTTATATTGATAACAGTACTGGCGTTTTTATTTTTGCTGTTTTATCTTTGGTTTTGGGGCATCTTTAGAATTAAGGTGATGGGGGGGTTTTTTGGATTGCTTATGCTTACCTGGGGAATGCCCCTTGTGTATGTATAGCCTTTTGCCTTGAGCCATTCTGTATAACATAAATCTAGGGTCTGATTCTTGAGGGGGTTTTTTTGGGTGGAGGTTTAATTGTGAGGTCGTGGTTTCTATTTTTCAGTGAACCTATTGACACGGGTTAGTAGAATCTAAAAGATAGCTATGGAAGGCATTGTGAATGTATAATAAGAAAATATACTGTTTAACAATTTCTGACCCCCTCCGTACTGGTGAACAGGCTCGTCTTTCAATGTTTCATCCTTTCAACTGATTTTTTCCCTGAATTTTTATTGGTTCCATTCTAACAATTGAATTTTATTGCTCAAACAAGATTGCCTCCATAAGGTTGGACACGGCACAAATGACTAGAATTGGTATGTCTGTAAATTATGCATGCAATTATATGTCTGTGAAATGCTTATTCAAGCCATGATGACACCCTTAAAAGTCGAAAAACTTTATTCTAAGCCAATATGAAAAACTTTTAACATGAAAAACTTTTAACAGTGCACCGACTACAAAAATCTGCCGGAAAGTTTACATTTCCTTCCCAAAATGGATTAGGATCAAACGTGCACCATTTTCATTTCGTTGGATGGGTGTAGCTGTATATGATAATAACATAAGGATGTAGCTGTATATGACAATAGCATAAGGTTTAAGAACTCATAATATCGATTCCAACTGTTTAATCTCTGGGTCCGACACTTCAGGTGCCACATCTTCTGGGATCCTATAAGCATCAGCAATAGACTTCCCTTGTTCCAACACATCAGAAGGTACAGTCTGGAGGAGGCTGCAAAGGAAAAGTTTTTCAAAATTTCCATCTTTCTTTGTCGAAATACATTTCAATGAGGAATAATAGATATGAAGCTGATAATATGTGAAGGAACTCTACCATTAAGGCACAGAATATATGTAATTATAGAAGCAAATCAACATCTGAAACCCACTACCTGTCCAATGCATCAACAGCAATTCCAATCTTTGCCTTCATTGATTCAACTGAAGCTTCTGGATCCTTTCTTGACGCGTGCAGAAGCAAAGAATCGAGTTCTTCCAATGCTCTTCAAAACAGAAATTTATTGGTATCAAATTGGCTCAACAACATTCTTTTGAACTCGTAAAAACACACAGATCTGACCGGGTCATATTGCAAAACAGGTGTGCTACTGAACAGACGCTGGCTCTCTTCTGCTAAAGGCATGTTTCCATGAATTTACAGTTATGCAATGCCAATTTAGGGGAGTCCTATGTATTTAATTTATTCATTAGACAGGTTGGTAACTTGATAACTGCATATATGTGACGGTATTGGTTGTCGTTGTCATCAAAACTATTCTTATTGTTAGACTTACTCTGGACAACAAAAGAAAGTCCTAGTGACTCCTACACACCTACTCAAAGAAATAGCAAAAGACGTTGTAAAGTTTATATATTTTATAAAAAAACAAAAAATGAAGCAAAGCCGACTTTTACTTGCCGGACCTGCTGTCCAAACATTTCCTCTGTTTTACAATCAGGCCCTTGGTGTGCAGTGCCAGATTCATTGACCTAGTGCCCTCCAAACTGCCCTAAGGTTACAAGTGTAGACATCTCTTATGTACCGTGACGTATATCGGGTTGCAGGGTGCAATTGGAGCCACTCAACAACGATGCAGCATAGCACTTTATTCTTTTGGGTCTAAACCAATTATTTTAATTGTTTTGATCTTTTGTTAAGTTGATAAAATTAGTACCTGAGACATTGATCAACATCACTGAAAGCAGTTTTACCGAGGCCACCATCAGATGCATATTGTGCTACCTGTATACAAAGGAAATTTTAAGAGGTTATTAGAACATTTTCTTATAAGCAATAAACACACACCGCCATGTTCCGGGAGGGAGTTGAATCCTGCACCTCCCCCCTTGTACAAGGCAAGAGATATCACTCAAGCTAATAGCTGGTGGTTGAAGAACTTGTAGAAACTTGCAAAACAAATGGGGAAATCTTAAACAATGGGGGTCATGACAACAATGTCTCAGTGATCATAATTTCTTATGGGTATCAAATCTGAGCTAGCAGTCTCATACTTGTCAGATTCCCTACTTGGAGAACCTCATATACTTGTATACAACACATACAAATGTAATTGCTGTATAGTTTTATGGTCAACACATATAGATCCAGCTATATTACATGGCATATTCAAATATGCGTGAAGTAACGGTGTGGGGTACAATATATGTGTCTAGCATGTCATATTAGAAGTCCACCTAATAAGCTTATCCAATAGTTCAAGTTTATTTTATAACCATGCATAAAGTCTCTTATTATGTTTCTTCCGTTCCACTATTGCTTCAATAAAGTAAATGCCAATGTTGAACACACCATGTAAACATGATTTTACTCCAAATAAAATAAAAGCATATGATATTTAGCCATGTCCCATATCCTTGATTTGAGGATTTGATAAATTTGATGCAACCTAATATACATACTCGATTCCATGTAACTTAGGATATAGGCAATAGCGACAGCTAACAGGCTAAGTTACACACTGTGCTCTTGGTGATATAAGCTCTTAAGAAAGGAGAGTCTGAATAATTCTTATGGAGCATCTGCCATCTATAAGTGGGCTCTCTAATAGGATTGGGACCTTTGAAATATTATATAATTTACTAAAATTAGTAAAATACGGTTATACTCATCAGACATAGAAATCATTTGTTCATTTTCTGCAATCTGAGGGACCTTACTTGTGTGAAAAACCGCAAATTTCTTGTTTGTTGACACTAATTCTTTGTTCCCATAATTATTTATTATCTCAAGATCTCGACGATACTAGTAAAATAGAATTACAACACAGATGCATGGATACACATTGCCCTTGGTAAAAATATAAATGACAGTTCCCCTTTTCCTCTTAAGTGGCATGCTAGATTAGCACATATGTACAGTTCATGTTTACCATTATATAGCACAATATCAATGTTGCTCCAATAATAGGTAATTCACATGGTTTTAACTTGGCTTTCAATGGAACTTCGGGAGATGTATTCTAATATTTTTCTAAGCCTAATTCTATCATGATTGACCCAAAACCTATATATACATGTTTTTCATTATTGAAATTAAGTTTTGCATAATTGAAAGAAAATTAAACTTTTTGAGAGCTAAGTGTTCTGTTTAAGCCCCATGTTATTCTTTGCACACTTGAGTTATAGATTGTGTGACATTGAGCATACACTGGATTCATCAGTCCACAAGTAAAAAGACATCATCCAAAGTTTAACAGTGAGTTTGTTTGGACAACCACATAGAAAAGTGGATCATCATGAGGTGATTACGTTGGTGTGAATCAATGTGGTATCGTTGGTAATTCTGAAGGCGCTGGACATGGAGAGAACTGGGCGTCAGAGGTAAATAAATGGCAAGTGATTTCAAATATACTGGAGTTAAAAGCTTGAAGTATTTCGAAAGTGAGTGGAACTCATTGTACTCTTTTCCAGAGATAATGGATATTTTTGCCTTGAGACGGTTTAGTCACCATGCCTTCTTCCAATCCAGTTTTCCACATTAAATACTATGGTGTCTCCATCTATACATTTTACTGCACTTTTTACTTTTCTTGCATGTGTGTTTATTAATTAACAAATAATAACTTAAATTTTTTAAAACAAGCAATTGAGAAAAATGGACCTGTTCTCCCCCACAATTGGTCGATTTACATAGAACCAATATCAACTTATTGTCAAATATGCACCTCAAAATGCTTCAAAAATGAAGTACCATATCATGATGTGGTTTTCTGAAATGAATGATCAAATATGCACCTTATATCGACCAAACTTATCATAAAGAGCTATTGTATCATTTACAAGTGACTATTAGAAAATTTAATTTCACTCTTGTTGTCACAAAGTACGAATGGAGAGAATGGAAAGAGAAATTTCGTGAAAATATCAACTTACTGCACGAATATTTACACGAAGGGATGCTGCAGGGCCAGAACGTAATATACTCCGACAGGCAGCATATTGTGGTTGATCAACTTCCAGAGTTTTCCCTATATCAGAACAAAGGGATCAAGCAAATTGTTCATGTTTTCTTTTAATCTCAAATAAACTTGCATCTCTTGCATGAAATGTGATAGAGATCACATGTAACATATTGGAACTTGCAAGAAATAATTGAAGGGAAAAAAGGCAAACATTGGATTTTTTAAGTGAGGAGCACAAAAACGCGTTAAAAACTGACAGTCGTCCTTCCCTGAATCATCTCAACAGAAAAAAATTAACAAAAATAAAAAAATAAAAAAAGCTGGATAAAATGCAGCCATTTATTTGGAGGAAAGGATCATATAAATTTGTTTACGAAAGTGAAAAGCTAATTCACTAATTATTCTCCTTTGACAAAGGTAAACTTTGTTAATTTAAATGTAGGAGTAGATATGACATGCTAACACTGCCAACCATATCCTCCACATTTTGTAGTGTTTGATAATGTTAACATTCCTTTGGCTACTTAGGTTATGAATTTGCAGTCCAATCAGGGCATTATGATGCGTAACTATCAATTATAAAATTCTCATAAACAAATTCCTAAAATATAGTAATTTGAGTGCACCACGTACACATGTATGAAGCATAGAGATAAGTCATAAATGAAACAAAATACTCCCTATATAATATGATACAATAACATAAAACATCTCATATCCAGCACCGAACCCTAAATTGAGAAATCCATTAAGCAAGAAACTGGTGAAGCAAAGGAGTAGTCATTACCTAAATCCTTAAACTGCAACTGAGACAATATAACAGCAGGTACATAAGCCTCTAGCGGATCAAGCTTTTTTCTAGTAAATACATTTTAAGAAAGATTAGAAACAGTACAAAAAATCATCATAAAGCAGGGATTAGAAACAGTACAAATCATAATAAAGCACACTATAGTTTCCGGTGAGCCTGAGGCTGAGGACTGGAGCAGAACCCCAAGCCCCATCTAAACATCAGGATATGTTACTTGTTGCTGATGCATAAGTTTCAATACAAACAGAAATATACATTTTTCACATTGCAAAAAACATATAAATACAGAAAATAAACTACTGTATTTCTGAAAATACCATTCTTCTCTCCTACCAACCATCCCAAACAAATTGTTGAACCAAAAATTGTCACAATCCATAATTGTCATAACTAAAGATTACAACATTGAATCACAAAAATGTAAAAATGATAATTTTTTTAAAAAGGGGGGTCATTCATTACCTTTTTACATACTTATCAAAAATGCTAGCAGCCACGGCATCTGCTGAAAAAGAAATAGCAACTAATTTGAATATATATATATATATCTAGTTTCTTATATATATTACAAATATGCGGGTATTGATGAACATGTATTTAATGGAATTTGAAGCTCGCAGTATGAATTTAGATAGTAATGAAAGAGAGATAAGAAAGAGGGCGTTACTTTTAGGGATAGAGAGAAGGAATAGGAGAGAGACGGAGAACAATCGCCTGCTCTCCCGAGCTTTTGGGGGCAACGATGCGCACTTCACTCTGGAACACTGATTGCTTTTGGAGGCGACGTTTGGGTGACGAGAACGAAGAAAGGGCGTCGAACCAAAAAAGCTAACAGATTCAGACATTACTCTTTTACTTCTACTTCTACTTCTACTTCTACTTTCTCTTCATTTCCTCTCCCGCCGAAGGTAGGGAGGGAGGGTCTTATCCGTTTCTCGGCCATGTATTTTCATGATAAATTGAATTACAATCTTACCCTTGCCTATCGTTAAATATAATGTCAAAAATTGATAAATATGGATTTTCTGTTTATATATATATATATATATATATTAATGTCACCAATTTTGTCCCATTTTATACATTTAACATTTCCAAAAGAGAGAATCGTCCGTTCATACGCTCCATTTCATGGGCTAGTCACGAGCCTTCTTTACTGAACTTGATTTTACATGGAACATCAGTGGAAATTATATACATATGTTGGCACAGAGAGAAAAATATTTATTGGATAGTATTATTGGGTAAGCTGCAACTATTTTTATAATGTCACCATTCTATTTTTGCAGTGTCTGCACAAAGACACCATCAAGAGGATCTTTTACTAGATCATGTGCAAGTCAGATTGGGGAAAAAATGGCGGTTATTTATAGAAGTGAGAGCCTCAGAATTTTGTTTTCTGAAACCAAATTATAAATTAAAATGATTCACCTTCCACTATTATAATAAAACTACACAACCTGTTTTAACAGTATAAACTTTCACATGTAGTTTACTGTAAGACCATGGAATAGCAGACATCAGTGAATTAACCGGAGTACAGTTTGGTACTCTAAATGAGAGGGACCTTATTAATCATATATATATGTGTGTGTGTGTGTATTAATCAGTATATATCCTGACTAACCAATATATGTATATATATACATAACACCAAGTAGAACTCTAAACCTCCATGTATTGATATTTAGTTAATACAATCATCAATTGCAAGTCACAGATCTCTCACATCTGCTTAACCCTCCTAGTGCTTCGCAGAAACTTGACAATTTCAAAACCAATGCAAGAACCATAAGAAATATGATGATAATTCCATATGAAGACATCTGCTTAACCCTCTCAGTTCTTGGCGGAAGCTTTACACTTCAAAACCAACCCAAGAACCACAAGAATTATGATAATCCCGTATGAAGAACCACCAGCTCTGTGTATCCAGTAAGGATCAAACCTGGAAAAGCCACGTTCCATGAAACGTGACACGGTGATGGCCGTGATCAGAACCAATAGCAATAGAGGCAGATAAGAGGAAAGATTGAAGGGTTGCTCATCGCATTCCAGCTCGACTTCTGGTGTCCTGTCAATATAGAGAGGTGAGAGCACAGCAACAAGGGCCAAGCCTATGGCCACCAGCCTCTCATATGATAAAAACCTATTACCACTCTTGCAGATAGCTTCCTGCTCCATTCAGGAACAAATTCTAAGGAGAAACTACCAGCCTCTTAATATTATCAATTACTTGGAATCTTCTTATCGCTGCTGGTTAACACAGTAACATGAAATTGGTTAGAAAGGAACCTTCTGCTAAAGGATGTGATCTCATTCCCTTGGTCGTCAAATTTTGGAATATATTTTGAAATTAGCATATGACTTGTTTGATCTTTTAGTGCAGATTTCTCAAGGTATGGTCCAATACGACAGTTGTAATCTTTATGGAAGTGCTTACACAATGCAACTCATGTTGACAGAAAATTTCCCACATAGGGAATCCTTCTAGAAGTTCAGAAGCACAGCTTATACATTAAGTTTTGGACTTTTAGAATAAGTGGATGTGAATAAAGTTGCAAAAAGAGAGAAATCATTCTCCATTAAGTAGATTATATAGTTGATGTAGGTTGCATAGTAACTTGGAATCTGATGCTAACAGCATCAAATATGAATTCTCAAAATGCTTATATGGAAGGTGCACAGACTTCCTGAAATGAAGTCAAGATATGCCTAAACATGATTGCAGTCATGCACTCTGCATTCAAGGTCACTAAAAGCATTTGAACATTGACAGCAGTGACTACTCCAACTTCCTACCGGACCAACCTTTTTCTACTATAAATCGCAATTAAAAGCCAACTGAGCTAGTCCATGTGCAGCACCACTAGCATTCATAGGAATATAATTGTCACAGTACATAATAGGCTAAAGAAGTGTACAATTCTTTCTTATCTATGGGTTGGGGTGGGGTGGAGACTGGAAGGACTGCACAAGGTAACTACTGCATATGCAGCGAAGATTATCTGTTCTATACTGGAAAATAATAAGCCTGAGTTTAAAGCTTTGAGGATTGGGCAGAAGAAAGAAACATGCTCCCTTCTGAGTAGTGGTGGAGTGGCAACGGTTTCAGTCATCATTTGAAACAACCAAGGACAAGTTCAATGAAGCGGCTTCAGAGTAACAGGCACCAATTAGCCAAACGTAAGTGGTGTGTGTCCTAACTAAGCATAAACAGTAACTATGAGCTATAGACCAGATCTCAAAGATAAAAAAAACCCATAGTGATAAATACAATTTTAGTAGAAAAAATACATAAAGCTATTGTCATTAGATGATAAAAAAATTATACACTTGTAGAGCGAGGAAGTCAAGAACATTGCCGGGAGATGCCTAACACTCAATTTCAGATAATACACAGATTGTATGATACAGGAAGCTAGCACAGTTGAGAAACCATAAAATTGAAAGAGCAAGTGCAGAAACAAGCTGAATGACCTAAATGTCACTGGTGGAGTTCTTTGGCCTGCTTCCGATGAGCCTTCTCATCCATTTGTTCTCTGATGTAGTTAGACGAGAAACTGCCGTATTAGATAATCGGATGTCCTGAGATATTCCTGTTGGTGGAAGTTCAGCAGGAAGTGCAGCAGCAGTGCTTGTAAAGGCATTTAGAACAAGGAAAGCCAGTATGGGAGAAAGATCCAACCCTCCAAGTGGTGGGATGATACCACGAAATATGTTCAAGTATGGATCACATAAGGTGCTGAACAAGAAATACCATCGAGATTATCAATGTCTATAGGTTCTGATCAAACGAAAATTTTAAAGCAATCACGACTACACCGCATCATTATAAGACAAAAAATGAATACTGGCAAAAGGTTGTTGACCTAGTTCATGCATTCTACAATTGAATACTGGCTAGTTGAACATGATGGCAGAACACCGGTACCAACGTTCTAATAAGTAATACCAGTTTTGACACTTGCAAATATGGTTGTTAAAATCCTGATTCGAATCTTATGATCCTACAATTTTGTGATTCAAATGTATCAAATTGATTCTGATCCCGCAAGAAACCCAGTAGGATAGAAATTAGAATTTATGCTTAATCCTTGTAAAATCACAAGAATCACAAGAGATCTTGAGTTGCATCCAGATTTGCTGAACCTGCTTTACAACCTTATAATGTGACATTTGTATTCTTCTTTTTTTTCCTTGGTAAGAAACTCACACACCCATTTGTCCCTATGGGGGTATTTTTCTTTTTTTTCCTTGGTAAGAAACTCACACACCCATTTGTCCCTATGGGGACTTGAACCCTCCTCACCTACCACTTTGGAAGGTAGAGGAGATACCACTAGGACTTGTAATCATTTTTAATAAACAAGGTTCTGAGACTCAAATAATATTACAAAACAAACACCAAAAAATCCACTTAAATGGCCTAAATAATACAACAATGTCTAATCTTTTTTATTTATTTATTTTTATTTATCATTTTAACTCTACAAAGATTCTTGTTATCTGCTTTAAACTAGTAAAATAGTCAATTACTTTAACACCTGATTAGACCGTTAACTAATATGGACTCAAAATTGTTTCCTTTCCCTTATTCATTTTTCTTTTTAGTTGATTATTTTGCTATGACGTGTGGTGGAAAGTGGGACAAATTTTTGCTTCACACAATCAACTTCAAATTCCACCTCTAAAACTAAGTTAGTTTGCTTCAAACCGATGGATCTCCTATCTTCACTTATCTCAGTACTCATTTTTTTTTTTTTTTTTTTTTTGAGCCTATGTTATAGGCTTTGTTGCAAAATCTTTCATGTCAAGTAGACCAAGAATTTCAAAACGTAGTTTTGTATTTTCATATGTAGTTTTGTATTTTCATGCAATGTATGTTTACATATAAATGATTATTTGTGAACTTATTTTCATCTTAAGTTCTACATTCAATATGATAAATTGCTTTTATTATTAGTTAGTGCTATGTAATTTGGAGGCTCTTATGCCAATAATTTTTTTGCTTTTGTGAGGGTAATGTGTTACAAAATTATTAGACGGAGCTTTTGTAAGTTTATGCACTCTAAATATTTATCTTAATTCTTTTCTTTTCTTTTTTTCATGAAATTTAAGATTGTTCATGGTGTATTCTTAAGAATTTTCGAGATGCACAGATAGAAATATTACAATTTTTATTGGAATAGACTATAGAGTAAGATTCCATTATGTTGGGCTATGATCTTCTTGAGGAGCTCACTCCATACCATTCTTTTAGGTAATACTCTGATGGCTCAAGTATAGCAGATTTTGGCAGCAGTGTTGTCATTTATTTTTAGTTGCTCTTTTAGTTTATTTTGAGGACTATTGTAATTTTGTTTTTGAACTTGATGTGGTTGGATCATGGTCAGGCTTTATTATCAATTCTTTCATATTACGAACTATGATTTCGATATAGAATTGTCTACATTAGAAAACACGTTATTTGTCTGCGTGTGGTTTGTGATTCAAGTTCACGCCCTTAATTCAGAATAGGACGAGGAATCCTTATGTTATAGATTGAGGCGTGGCAATTTTGATAAGTGAGATGCACGAATATTATTCGAGTATTATTCTTCTCATTTTGTATAATCTTTACTATCCAATCCTGAAAACCCTCTCATTAACCTATTTCAACAACTTTACTAGCAAGTTATAAGTAAGTTAACACTTAGTAGCAAAACTCGAAGGTACAGAAAACACATTTTTTCACCCATGAGCTACCTTAGTGATTTTAAGATCAAGTGGTGGGAAAGCAACCGGCCAAGGTAGATTAGAGCTAATACATATAAAGTTTCTGATGATCTTACACAACACAAACTGGCCACAACCCTCAAAAAAAAAAAAAAAAAAAAAAACAATATTTCATATAATTAATTCGCAATTGTAAACTACTGCATCAAAAAGCCGCCAAAGTCATGTTTACCAAATGTAAACTTCAAAATTTTAGTGGCATACCTGAGTGGGCTAACAATGGCTGGAGGAGAGTTAGGGAACCAGGTTAAAACAAGCCTGACAACCAATAGTGTATTGTAAATATTCAAGAAATTCAGAATGCCATTAGTCACCACAATCCCAGCCACAGAATCGCCTGGTATAATGGCAGCAAAATTGTGATTGGCCATGGAATTCAAATTTCTGTAGTTTCTGCGACGAATCTGAATATAAAGTTCAATTAAGTATGTCAATTAAGCAAACAAGAGAACTTCATCATAAATGTAGAAGTATGAAAAAAGCGCACAGTATTTATCAAGGAAATACTGCACAAAACTTATAAAAATCATCATGTGATTGCCCAGACACTTTTCCAAGGTGTGTTTTATGGTCTCACATGGATCTCCCCGATCTCTTTGGCATGCATAATTTTCTTTTTTCTAATCTTTGCATTTCATTGCAAAGTTAACCTAAGAACTGGATCCGCGATCTTCCACGTTATGATTCCAGACACTGTATATATGTTCCTTATCGATGCTTCTTAACCATCAAGGTATGCTTCTTAACCATCAAGGTGCACTTCAATGCTAATGTGATTCTGATACTGATAATGACGGAAATTGTAATAATAAATATGGTGGTTATAAATAGTGAATTTTATTGTTAAGTGATGCATATAACATATAAAGAATTAATAAACAATTCTTTATGGGCAGATGGGCAAGGAAATGAAAAAAGAGGGCTAGTCCAGTGCACGATGCTCCCACCATTACGGGATTTGGGGAGGGTCAAATGTACGCAACCTTTCCTCCGCATTCGAAGAGGCTGTTTCAGTGACTCGAACTTGTGACCTCCACGTCACAATGGAGCAACCTTAAGGAAATGACAAAAGAGATCGCCCTCAAATTGGATGGCAAGTCAAATTGATACTGCCTTTAAATATTTTCCTATTTATCAACTCAAAAACTCAACAAAACCTTATATTCCAAAAACTTGGAGTTGGGTTACACATGGAATTTTGTCATACAGCTTTATTAGGGGCTTTCCATTCTCATAAATCACACTTCATCACATACTTTCTCATCAGGGGATAAAAAGAATCACATCTTTTCTACTCTATCCGACATCCTTCTGGTCTTCATCTTGACCTTATCATTCCTTTCAACTTAAATTGTACCTATGGTCCTTGTTCAATTGGTGACACTTCTAGTTTGAAGTCTAGTATATATGAGGAAATAAGAAAAATTATATTTTTATTAGGTCATTAGAATTATATATTACAATTGTTCATGAATCCACTCTACATAAGGGCGTCTCACCCAACTGGGTGGATACCAAATGAACTAACACTCATCTTCTATAATTCATCATTAGAACTGACAAGCTACCCACAATAAAATAGCAGGATTCAACTCCTAATTCTTAATAAACAATTAATATTAAACAGATAATAAACAAAATAAACGCAACTTCGGAAATGCACATACATTATTCATTTTTCTTAAAGACCAAACTATTATAATACCTAGTTTCCTATACTTAAAACCATCCTACATAGACATAAAAAATATATATATAAATACACACATACACAGACACAAACACAAACCGGATGAGAGAGATACCTGGGAGAAATTGTGGAAATGGGAGGAGAAAAAAAGGAAGATTTTGTCGAGAAGTGGGTTTGGGGAAGCGAATGTGTCTAAGAATGTGAGGCAATTCTCAGCAGTGGATACGATAGAGCTATGGAGATGACGAACAATGTTTACATTGAATTGGAGGTTGGGTTTAGAGTGAGAGGACTGCGTGAAGAATTGGGGAAGGAATGGGGTGTGAATAAATGGGGAAGAGAGTAGGAGTAGACTGTTGTAACCGAACCCGTTGGCCATGGATTTCTGCTGCTGCTGCTTTGAAGAAGAAGAAGAAGAAGAAGAAGAAGCGTCCATTTCTTTCTGTGCTTTGGCGCAAATGGATAGAAAAAGAGAGCCCACTGTTTTCTATATCACCTATTATTTAGAGGAGATTGGGATATGGATCGGAAAAGGAAAAAAAAAATTAGATATTTTTTTTAATCAATACTACTTGTTGACGCGCTCCCCACGTAGTAGACCTTCTGTGCGTGTGCCTGTGTGTGATAAAATTGAAAATTTGAAATTCTAACCCATTTCTCAATTTAGTATGTCCACTGTATAAAAGAATATAAATATATTTGTATTGCATTTTTAAAAATTTATTGTATCATATATACATATATATACATATATATATATATATATATATTTTGTATCGCATTTTTAAGAATTTGTTGAATCATTGTACTTGTGTGCGCTATTTATGTATGAAAGAAGGCACCCTTTAACATTTTTTATTTTTTATTTTTATTTTTATGTTGTGAAAGTAAAAAAAAAAAAAAAAGTTTTTGCATTTTTAACCAATTCATTTTGTCAAAATGCATATTTTTTTGCTAGAACATTTTTTGGGTAAGTATCTAACTGAGCTATATAACCTATGCCAATGTACGCTCAGGCTCAACCAATTCCAAAATCAAATTTTCTCCATTCTTTGTAAAGCTTAATTTACAAGCATCAATTGTTTTATTTAATTTTTCTTTGGTCTTTTTTCAGCTTCAGAAGTCCCAAACTTGGTTATGTATCTCTACAAGAATTATATACAAGATGGAGAAGACTAGAAGATAGAATGATAACAAATAATGCAAATTGGTATCTACAACGATAAAAATACTATTTATGATGCACCAGTTATACAGCATCTTTGGTATGCCCATTCATCTCCGTTTAGGGGTACCTATAAAGATAAGTGATACAGGTCAAAGAAATCTTGGAGCAGATGAAAAATATGTATCATCCAATAAAACTTATCTTAGTATGAGAAGGGCAATGATAACATCCCGACATTCGTCTATCCGAGTATCTCACACAAGAACTTATTGAGATGTTGCCTTCCAGAGGATCATTATATAACACAAAAAGTGAGTTTTGAAAAACTCCAAGAGACATATAACGTAACCACCTTGGTAGCTCCATAGAGAAGAAAACCTTGCTAACGGTTAACGACCACCGGGCTCGGAAATCCAGTGGATAGTCCCATTGAGAGAAGCATGAGATGAATCAAAACGGATACAGGGTATGGTACCAGAAACACTAATTCTTGTCCAACAGCCCTCTGTAAGAGAATAAATGTCAACCTCAAGGTCACTAGAAACATAAGCAATTGTAACCACCTGATAGTCATTAGTTGTGGAATCGAATCCGAATCCAAAAGCAAGATCAAAACATAAGCAATTTTGGTAAAAGATTACGAAATTATTTTTAGTGATGAGAGAACATTATGATTTGCAGACGCACATGATTTGCATAAGTATTCTCACCGGCAGTCTTAGAGTTTTTAATTATTGAATTACAAATATGCCCCCAAACGGGTATGCATAGAATTATGAAACAATTATTTTGACAAGATGTATCGATTATTAAAAGTAATTAATACCATACTATAGGGGGAGCGCCCCAGTGAGAATATCATATAATTTGCACTTATATTTCCTTTGTTTTATAATAAAGATAGATAGATAGATACAATTTAGAGAGAGTGCAATCCAATTGTTCTCAAATTTGCAAACTTGAACAACAACATTCCTTACGTAATTGTCAGACTATTAAATTGACCCATTTAAATCATTAAAGCATAGTATTAACATTTATAAGTCTTTTTATTTGACCAAAATGACCCTTTGACAAAAAAAAAAAAAAAAAAACCACCAAACTCCACCACTGTGATTGCCAAACAAACAAGGGTGGAGCCAAGAATTTTTAAGGGGGTAACTAGTAATGTAAAATTAAAATTTTAAAATAATATAAAATCATTATAAGAAATTTTTTTCTTTACATGTTTAATTCGCTCGCTAAAATAGATGAATTAGTTATATTATCTAATAGTTAAACAAAATTCTAATACAAAACTCTTATTTTGCATTTCAAAAAGTAAGAAATATGATTTTTAAATATATTTTTATTATTATTCCGTAGTAATATATTAAATATTAAAAGACCATTTTTAATAGTAATATATTAAATATCACCTTCAAGTAATCACACATAAACTAATCTTTTTATTTCTTAGTGTTTACTGAAACATTATTTACACAACATGTCACATTTTTCTTCTACAAAAACAAAGAAAGAAAAAAAGAAAAAAGAAAATAACAGGTCACAATGCAATCATATTTATTTTTTCATTCTTAAGGGCCATTTTGGTCAATTAATAGGAGATTATAAAGGAAATTTAATATTTCACATGGGTCAATTCAGAAGTCAAAGACAGATACAGATACGTACTTTTATCATATTTTATGTTTGAGGTACCAAATCCGAAAGATGTCATCATCTAAAAAGTGTTGAAGTTGTAGATAATTGAAGTTGTAGATAATTGTTTTTAATCCACAACGTGGAAGGGGCTATACAATTAGTAGGCTTGATGATTATTCTAAGGGTAAATTTCACTTAAGCGTTGGTCATACAATGATGTAACTAATTTTTTAAGTTGCTACAAAAATTATTCAAATTTTGTTATAAAATCTTTGATGAAAAACCACAATATATCTTTCGTACATTAGGAATTGCATGACAGAATGTCACTTATTATTAATATTTTTTAACCCAGGTGAATGAGTTGGCTCAAATCCAACCAAATTACAACAATAATCAAATTGGTATTATAAAAAGTCTTCATTTAAATCCACAACCCAATTAACAACCCAATTAACGTTAATTGATTGATGATTATTTGTTTCTAATTTTTTGTACCATAATATTTTATGAAAAAGGTGATGATATTGATGCTCCAAAATTCAACCTAGCGATCCACTTTCTTTTATTATTAATTGTAGTGAAAATTTTACACTCCTACATCGATCTCCTTAAATTAAAAAAAAAAAAAAAAATGTCGTCAGTAAATTTTTTACCTATTTTACTTGGCCTTGTTTAAATTAACAGAAGAAGAGATGAGAGATCTGATCCAATAGAAAAATCTTAATTTATGATAGTATCACAGACCAAAAAGTTGCAGGGATAAATGGTCTTTCGTTTTTGTTATTTTTTATTTCTCAACTAAAGAAAAAAAGAAAAAAAAAAAAGGTTAGAGCAAAACATAAGTTATTATATTAGGCTTGGAGGGGTGAGAGCGCAAAGCTGTCAATTTATTAGATTTTTTTATTTTTTGTTTTTTTGTCTTTAAGGCGGCGAACCTTTATTAATATTTTTTTTTTTTGTCTTTAATTTTTAAATTGGAGGCGGCGAGGCGTACCTTTATGGTAAGTAAGTTGCCTATAAAAGGGCCCTCATTATCTATAGGATTTTAGGTTTTGTAAAGAACGAAGGTTCCAAGAATTCAGTCAAGCGGCGGCTCTCTCTGGCCCGCAGGTACGATCAGTCTATTTTCTCAGAAGTTTGATCTCCGTTCTGCCGTGGAAACTTAGTTCATCGCGTTGATGCCCAGAAGCATTACGAAGCCTGTCAAAAGGAGAGAAAAAGATATGGAAGAAATTTTGATTGGTTATAAGTTTCTTCCAACCGACAGTGAGTTGATTCAGTATCTTGTGTGCAAGGCGAAGGAAGAAGCCCTACCATGGGAGGGTGTTGTGAAGGACTGTGACGTTTATGGCAAGGAGCCCTCAGAGCTTTTTGAGGGTTCGGAAGAGAATGTTCTTTATTTTTTCACCAAGTTGAAGAAGAAGCACGGAAACGGGTCGAGGATTGATCGTGTGACGGCGACGATGGGTACATGGAAGGGGCAAGACAAGGCTAAACCTATAATAAAAGATGTCGATGGTACTACTGGTACCGGTGAGGGAGATGATCAAGAAACTGGCTTGATAGGAAGGAAGAGAACTTTTACCTATAGAATGAAATCGGATGCTAAGGCGGCGAAGGCCAAGAGTGGATGGAGCATGACTGAATATAATCTTGACGGCACTAATCTCCAAAGAGCAAAAGTAAGTACAGTGTGTGTGTATATATATATATATATATGTCTCTTATATTTTTTTTTTATCTTTTTAGAATTCAACAGTCTCTAAATAGTGATTTGATATGTTACTCAGGTCAAAGACTATGTAATTTGTCGAATTAAAAGGCAAAAGCAGGAAGAAATTAAGTTGGAATCCCAAGTTAAGGTGATGCAAGCGGAGGAGTGCAAAGTGACAGTAACTCCGGCACTTGAAGACTGCAATACCATCCCACATGCAATGGAACCCATATTACAAGACTGCAGCAACCTCATCACAGAAGCAATCGAATTTGATGGAACAACAGTACTAACGCAACCAGAAGAAGAAGAAGATTGCATGGATTGGTTGAACGATTTTGACTGCAGCAACCTCATCACACAATCAATTGAATTTGATGGAAAAACAGCACTGATGGAAGCTGAAGATTGCAGCAACCTCATCACACAAGCAATTGAATTTGATGGAAAAACAGTACTAATGCAAGCTGAAGACTGCAGCAACCTCAGCACACAAGCAATTGAATTTGATGGAAAAACAGTATCAACGCAACCAGAAGAAGATTGCAATTGGTTGAACGATTTTGCTACACAACTCTTCCAGAATCAAGAACATTTAGGAGACAGTGAAATACTAATGTTGCCCAACATTTTTTATGCAGATAGTTGGTCCCTCTCAGCTTGATTTAGATTGTCTACAATCAACTAGTGTACCCTGCTTTTAACTGTGTTTGGGTTATGTGTGTAACTTTGTGCAAAATTTTATAAATACATGAAGATAAATTGATTGTCAACCTTTAATTAAATTTTATCGAATATATTCATGTGTATGTGTGAGAGATGGGGTTTCACAAGGCTGATAGAATGAAATAATGGCAAGGGATAGAAGGCTTAAACCAAACCAGTCTCTACCAGTGAACAATTAGAAGGGAGGAAAAGCTGAAACCCTTACCATAACCTTTGAAAAGGTAATCACCAAATTTAAACTAATGTTAATTTTGACTATTAATCAAATTTAAAATGCCTGCCCGCCACCTTCTTCTTTTTTCATTCGCTAGGTAAACAGATTAAAAAAGCAATCAAATTGTTCCACCAAAGTTATATGGAGGCAATATATGACTTTTATTGAAGTTAAGTTGTTTATTCCAAAATGGACAAGCAAAGCCAAAGGCATAATACAAAGCTACCCACCAGAAATCCCAAAAGAAACCCCAAAGTAGAGGAAGCAAAAAAACCTGCTGCAACTGACCTCAGTCCTCGGTAAAATGAAGAGGACACCATCAAGAACTGGAAATCACCTTTTGTTCCCGTTCCACTGATATAACCTTTCGTTCAGCTTCCACTTATATCACCTTTTGTCCTGATTCCATTGATATCACCTTTCCTTTAGCTTCCATTGATATCACCTTTCCTTTAACTTCCATTGAACATATCAAACAAAAAAAAATTATCATACCAAGTCTTTTTTTTTTTTTTTTTTTTTTTTCAAGTTGCTTGATAGAAGAAAAATATATAAATTTGGATAGCAGAACATAGTAATAATATAAAAATCAACAACTATTTGTGTTGTATATATATATGAATCTTTAATTTTTTAAGTTAATGCAGTTAGGCAAAAGAGAAAAACACCTTAAATCAGGTTACAGGAGTGGTATTGTTTTCTTAGTTATATCTAGTTACAGTTTTGGAAAGAATATGTATATATACACATAGTTTTAGGGTTTTTGAAGACAAGGGCAGTAGATCGAGTGTATTTGGATTAATGAGGGTTAATCTTCAGGAATTAATTTAGGGCTTTTCTCCTTTAGCTCTTTTATTATTCCAGTGTTTTCAAAAACGTTTCTACAAGTCGTGTTTGGAGGGAGAGAAAATTGGAGTTTCTTAATGTTGAGAGGAGTGTTGATGAAGGCTATGTAGTAACCTCTTTGCTTTATTTTGAAGGCCAAGGCCAAGAAGGGTGTCGTGTTCTTTTGCAGTGGTGGTGGTGAATTGGGTGTGATGTTTCTGGGTTTGTTAATGTGAGAGGAAGGTCATTTTGGTACATTGGTGTTAATAGGTCACGGATGGATTGGTAACTGTATATTGGTAAGTGAGGTTAAAAATGTCATTTTAAACATTAGAAGGGCAAAATTGACCTTCAAACAATTTTCTCATGCTGACATCAGCATAATCCGTCAAGTACTTAACGGCAGGGGGCAATTTGCTACATAATTCAAAACCTCAAGGGAAATAGGCTGATTTAACTTCAAGCTGTTCCAACTTAGATTTTTTATTTTGTAATAGTATTATTATTATTATTATTATTATTATTTATAAGTTATCTATTTTATTCAAGAAAACACAGCACAGAATTGAAATGGGCAACCCCCAATAGTACAAACAAGAACTAACCACAGCACAGCACAACAGCAAACCAACAGAAAGAATCAAACATTCCAGAAAGGGATGTATCCAAAAGTATGCCTGTTGAATCTAGTTGCAGGAAAGGACAACATTTTAAGTCTAATAGAGTGGTAATTTGAAGAGACGCAGAGAATTCATCCAAATAAGAATTAAAGTATCTTCCAGAGTTTGTTTCTCTCCAAATCATGTGGAGATTTTGCAAACTTGATGGTACCAATTCCTCTTAGACTGACACTTGTGATTGCTCCATTCGAGAATCTCGAACAGCAATAGCAACAGACTCTTAGATCAAGGCATACTGACTTATAAAGAATAGATTATGAACACTTTCAACATTCCTTCTGCAAAGGATATATCGGTCTGATTGAGACATACATCATTGAAGGAGCTTGTTCATAGTGCTTAGTGTATCCTTAGCAGCAAGCCAGAGGATGAAACAGTGCTTTGGAACACCTCCCTTAAATCAAACAGTCCCACAAGTTATGGTTGAGTCTGACATCTTCATAAGCATCCTTAACTGAGAAGGGCTTATTGGAGCTGGACCAAACAACATCATTATTCCCTATCCTAGAAGGTACAGAGAGTTTGAGCAACCAAAGAACCAATATCCCAAATATTATCTCGCATGCAATTCAGGCCATTCCCACCCTCTATCAGATATAATGTCAGCCAACTTGAGCATCTTTAGGAATACCTAAGTTGAAAACTCTATGACCCTCTGAAAGAACAATAGCGCCACGTGAAAGCCAAGAATCAAACAATAAGGAGGTGTTCTGGCCTGAGTTACTACATACCCCATATGAAAATATAAATCACACCTTGTTGTGATCTTGATTATTGATTTTAGAATGAGGCCAAACATTATAGTAAAATAGACTTTTATTTTCTGATTCTGATAAACGCATCAAAGTTAAAGTGCAATGCAAGTCCACACAAAGAATATAAGAGTTAAAAGTTATCTGCAATGATTTAGCGCACACAACAACAAATTCATGGCAGAAAATGGCATTAAAAGAAAATAAAATAAAAGGGAGTATGAACAAAATACATTTTCAACAAGGCATGTAGAAGCTATTGAACAAACAAACTGGCTTTCTCCCTCCATGCTACCAATTCTATCATATAAAAATCATTCCAGGTAAGAAGAGAATATAATCCAGGTCAAGTCTCATACGAAATGAAAATTAGTCACAAATGAACCATTAGTGGAGCTAAGTACATCATCACTCTAAAGTGTTAATTGCATCCCTGTCCAAGTAGTGAAAGCAACTGAGGTAACAACAAAATCAACATTGAAACTTTAGCTAATACTCCACCTAGTAAGACACCTAAAACCTACTACTCTTTACTAGTAGAGATACATGACCACAAACTTTATATTGACCATGACCACACAGATATGTCATTAAACTAGCATTTGACATTCATATACATGTCATGCAGGAAGGACTACTAATAGGATTAAAAAAAAGTGGGGTACATATATATATATATATATATATCTTGCCTGCTCTTTCTATTGTTTCTTGGTTCTTATAATTTTCTTGGTTCCTCCAACTCTGCTCTTGGTGCCTGCAACAGAGAAGAGCGTGCTTGCTCACCGAAGCCTCCATGTACTTTGTCAATTAGCACTAAGCTCTCTGTGTAAACATTGACACAAAATGCCTCATCATATCCACGCATCCCAACATTCTTGAACTCTTGAGTCTTAATGTCAACTGAAACCATCTCCTCATCTTTAGTCAAAAGAACTTCACCATTCCTCTTCCAGCCAATAACTTTCACAGAACCTTCTCTACCAAAATCAAGACCAAACAGATTGGTCCACGACTCCACAGCACCATCCTGTTTCATCATCCAGATTGATACTTTGCCATAATAATCATTCTTGAACACAAAAACTGAGTCTTGAAACACTGCAATAGACAACCTACGTGGTGCCTTTTTATAAACTAGACTCCTTGGTAGCTCCATCAAAGAGAATACCTGAGTACCCAAAGTGAATGTCACAATGAACGGGCCAGGAAAATTACCACCTCCGGAAAGCCAATGGATAGTCCCATTGAGAGAAACTTGAAATGAATCACAACAGAGAGGGAGTACAGGACCAGAAACACTAAGGTTTCTCCACCATCCCTCCTTAAGCGAATAAATGTCAATCTCAACAATGCTATCATAGAGGTAAACAATTCTAACCACTTTATAGTCATTGTTTGTGGAATCTAATCCGAATCCAAGAGCACACTGATAAAAGCCGTGCGAAAGGCAGTTAATGCGAGGTTCTGGAACTACTACAAATTTCCTAATACTGGGGTTCCACAGATATCACCCTCAAATTGGATGGCAAGTCAAATTGATACTACCTTTAAATATTTTCCTATTTATCAACTCAAAAACTCAACAAAACCTTATATTCCAAAAACTTGGAGTTGGGTTACACATGGAATTTTGTCATACAGCTTTATTAGGGGCTTTCCATTCTCATAAATCACACTTCATCACATACTTTCTCATCAGGGGATAAAAAGAATCACATCTTTTCTACTCGATCCGACAGCCTTCTGGTCTTCATCTTGACCTTGTCATTCCTTCCAAACTTAAATTGTACCTATGGTCCTTGTTCAATTGGTGGCATTTCTAGTTTGAAGTCTAGTACATATGTGAACATTTCCACTTTTTTTTTTTTTCCCTTAAGGAAATAAGAAAAATTACATTTTTATTAGGTCATTATAATTATATTTTACAATTGTTCATGAATCCACTCTACATAAGGGCATTTCAAACCTAGGCCTACTGAATCTCACCCAACTGGGTGGATACTAAATGAACTAACGCTCATCTTCATTATTCATCATATAGAACTGACAAGCTACCCACAATAAAATAGCAGGATTCAACTCCTAGTTCTTAATAACCAATTACTATTTAACAGATAATAAACAAAATACACACAACTTCGGAAATGCAAATACATTATTCATTTTTGTTAATGACCAAACTATTACAATACCTTGTTTCCTATACTTAAAACCATCATATATAGACATAAAATATATATATATATATATATATATATAGATAAATAAACACATACACATACACATACACATACACAAACCGAAAGAGAGAGATACCTGGGAGAAATTGTGGAAATGGGAGGAGAAGAAATGGAAGATTTTGTCGAGAAGTGGGTTTGGGGAAGCGAATGTGTCTAAGAATGTGAGGCAATTCTCAGCAGTGGATACGATAGAGCTATGGAGATGACGAACAATGTTTACATTGGATTGGAGGTTGGGTTTAGAGTGAGAGGACTGCGTGACTAATTGGGGAGGGAATGGGGTGTGAATAAATGGGGAAGAGAGTAGGAGTAAACTGCGTGATTTCTGCTGGTGCTGTTGCTTTGAAGAAGAAGAAGAAGAAGAAGCGTCCATTTCTTCCTGTGCTTTGGCGCAAATGGCTGTTTTTTATTTCACCTATTATTAAGAGGAGATTGGGATATGGATGGAAAAAAATAAAAAATAAAAAATTAGATTTTTTTTTTGTTTTTATCAATACCACGTAGTAGACCTTCTGTGCGTGTGCCTCTGTGTGATAAAACTGAAATTTTGAAATTCTAACCCATTCCTCAATTTAGTCAATGAATTTTTTATTCTTTTGAATAGACACAAGTTTGAATGCCCACTGTATAAAAGAATATAAATATATTTGTATGGCATTTTTAAAATTTTATTGTATCCTCTATATATATATATATATTTGTATTGTATTGTAAAGAATTTATTGTATCATTGTACTTTTATTTATGAAAGAAGATAACCTTTAACAATTCTTTTTATATTTTTAAATTACAAATTAAGCAGGCTCTAATTTCACAACAATAAAAATATATATTTTTACATTTTTAACCAAATCATTTTGTCAAAATACATATTTTTTTGCTAGCTTGCCCCACTAAGCACATTTTTTGGGTAACAATCTAACCGAGATATATAATCTATGCCAATGTACGCTGCTCAACCAATTCCAAAATCAAATTTCCTCCATTCTTTGTAAAGAATTTACAAGCATCAATTGTTTTATTACTTCTGCTGTCACATTTGAATTTGCGTGTGAGTAGGGTTTGAATTTAGTGTTTGGTGTTTGGTCTTTTTTAAGCTTCAGAAGTCCCAAACTAAGAATTATATACAAGATGGAGAAGAGTATAGAATGATAACAAATAATGCAGATTTGGTATCTCCAATGATAAAAATACTATTTATGTTTTACCAGTCAAACCGCATTTTTGGAATGCCTAGTCATCTCCTTTTAGAGGTACCGATAAAGATAAGTGATATGGATCAAGGATATCTTGGAGCAAATGAAAAACATGTATCATCCCATTAAACTTATCTCACCTTCTCATAGAAACGGCAACGATTGCATCCGGACACTCGACTATCTCACAAGACTGTGAGCCCTCACCACAATAGCTGTGGTGACGACCATACCCACGTGCCATCAAGTATAGAAATTTTCTCATATAAAATGCTTTCAATAAGTTGATGCGGTAAATTTTTATTGAATAAAAATAATTATGACATGATATAGTGACACACCCAATAAGGGCATACAATTTTTAATCAAGAGGGAGTTAAAAATTGGGATTTATCCGTGAAGAACCCCAAATACCATATTATCCTCTCAAGTCTGAGCAGTTGGGATCTTTTTCCCAATTGCTAAACTTGAGCTCATTTTTTCGGACTTTCAATCTAATTTCAAGCGAGTTTGAATAATGGGCTTAAAATTAAATATTTTGATTCTATCTAGATAGAATGAATGCCTAGACAAACACAATGTAAAATAAATAAAGATAACAAATTTAGACTGCTCTGATATACAGCTATGTAACACATCCTTACAAGATGATATCTGAGATGAAAGGCAAATACAAACATAAGTTTATATATTGGAAGAGTTTTTACATTTTTGAAATAATTAAAAAGAAAGGACCTATCCTGGGCTACCATTCCTAAAAGGTACAAAGGTCATAACTGCAGCTTAGTTCCAAGATTTGGGAAACAAAATTTGCAACTAGATAAAGAAAACAATTACTGCATACCCCACATGAAAATATAATTCACATCTTCTTGTGATCTTGATTATTGCTTTTAGAATGAAGCCAAGCGGTATGCTAAAATGGACTTTTATTTTATGATTCAAAGAAAATCATCAAAGAAAAAGTGCAATGCAAGTTCACACAAAGTATATAAGATGCAACAAAAATTCATGCCAGAAAATGGCATTAAAAAAAAAAAAAAAAAGAAGCGAGGGAGTATGAACATAATAGATTTCAACATGGCATGTAAAATCCATGGAACAGATATAATGGCTTTCCTTCTCCATGCAAGCCATTTCTATCATATACAATCATTCCCACCAAGAAGAGAATATAATTCATGTAAGCAAAAAGTTAAAAAAAAGCTTATACATTTCTGACACAATTGCTTATTTGTCCATTGGTGATTGGTCCAAGACCATGTGATAACTTCTCAGTGATTATATGGTGCGTGCTCTTTTTCTATTGTACATTGGTTCTTCTAATTTTCTTGGTTACTCCAACTCGGTTCTTGGTGCCTGCAATAGAGAAGACCTCCCACTCGGTTATTGGTGCCTCCAATAGAGAATACTATGCTTGCTCCCCAAAGCCTCCATTTACTTTGTCGATTAAGACAAAGCTCTCTGTGCACAAAATGCATGTCCATGTACTCCAAGATACTTGACCTTTTGAGTCTTATGTCAACTGAAAGTAGCCTCATTTCTTGTAAGAACAACATCGCCATTCCCCTTCAAGCCAATAATAACTCTCACATAAGCTCCTCTACCAAAATCATCAGAATTGAACAGATTGGTCCACGACTCCACAACACCGTATTGTTTCATCGCCCTGATTGAGATGTTGCCTTCCAGAGGATCATTATGCAACACAAAAAGTGAGTCTTGAAAAACTCCAAGAGACATAAAACGTAGCCACCTTGGTAGCTCCATGGAGGAGAAAACCTTGCTACCCAAATTGATGTTAGGAATTATGTCTCAAATTCCCATTATTATTAGTTTCTATTTTAGAGTGTAATTTTATGGTAATTTCTTATAGAGACATGAATTGGGCTCTAAGAAATTGTAATCCTTGTCCACAAAGGAATTGGGTATGTGACTCTATAAATAGACACTTAGGCTATCGTTAAGAGTTATGAGTTGAGAGAGATGTAGCCTCATGAGGGAGTACGATGATGGTAGGGGTGAGTTACGGGTTTGGTAGAGTGAACACTGATGGCGAGAGGAAGTCTCGTGGCGTACACAGAGAACTCGGTCAAGAGTTTGTGTGCATGGTCCGGTGTTGAAATTCTCTACTATTGTAATTTCTCTACATATATAATAAATCTCTTTTCATCCGTGGATGTAACACTGATTTTGGGTGAACCACGTATATATCTTGTGTTGTGATTTGAATTATTTTTTCTTTTTTTTTTTTGCCTTTTGCTTCCGCTGTGTCCCAACAACTGGTATCAGAGCCAAAGGTGAAGGAGATCCAGAAAACACAAGAAGTCTCAACATGTACTACAACGGGCTTCAGTTGTAGGTGAAGTCAATCGGCTTGATTACATGGCATGGAGCTTGAGAAGTTAAGGTGGAGCCTTGGGGTTTGATTGATTGAGCAACGTATAGTGTAATACCCCTAATTTTAAAAGGATAGTCTCGGTATTTATTTATTTATTTTTATTGTATTTTTTTTAATTGTTTAATTGATTATTTGACTAATTGTTTATGTGTTTAATTGAATTAAGTGTTACTTGATTAATTGGCTACTTATCTATGTGTTATTTGTATTTTGTCTAGGTGTTATTTGTATTATTTGTTTAATTAGATTGTGTGCTTAAATGATGTATTTGATTAATTGTAATTAATTGTAAATTAAATGATTAAATATTTTATTTTATTTTATTTTATGGTTATGATTAGTGGTAATGAGCTAACTAATTGGGTCCCATGGACTACTTGGATAGGAGGTTGGATGGGTATGGATAATTACCCATGGATAGTTGTATATGTATATATATAGATATATATGTATATACATATATATAAAAAGGAAAGTAATTTATTAATATTATAGTAACTTTAGTATTAATAAATAATCTGATGTATATATTTTATATATTTATATAATAAGGATATACATATATTTTATACGTAACATGTTTTAAGTTACCTTTTTAATATTATGGTAACTTTAGTATAAATAAATAATCTGATGTATATATTTTATTTATTTAATGAGGATATAGATAGATTATATACGTAACATGTTTTAAGTTACCTTTTAATATTATGGTAACTTTAGTATTACTAAATAATCTAATGTATATATTTTATTTAATTAATAAGGATATACATAGATTATATACATAACATATTTTAAGTTACATTTTTAATATATATATATATATATATATTTTTTTTTTTTTCTTTTTCTTTATTAAGTTGACTTGAATTGGGAAAAGGAATATGGTTATTATTTAGCCTATAAATACACAACTATAGGTTGAAAAAGGAGTGAAAATATATCACGTAATATATTCTAGAGAGAGAGAGTTAAAGAGAGAAAGAGAAATAGGAAGGAATGAGGAGAAAACCCTTTAGAGAGAAGATCAAGGAAGAAGAAGTTTAACTTTCAATCCGAAAGTTTAAGGTAAGTTCTTCTTCTATCTCTTTCCCTTTGATTCGTGTTTCTGTACATGCCTAGGAAATTTCAAGATTTATTAAACACATAAAATTAAATAATTATGCATGTTTAATTGGATTAAAACATAGGTTTTTATAAAATTGGTTCATATCTGTTCTTGTATTATGAATTGATAAAATGCATGATTTTGATTTGATTTCTTATGTGAATTTTTACATGTTTAAATTATGTATTTTTCATATCTGTGGAATGATAGAACGTAGAAACATGCCTAAGATTCCTGAACATTAAATAGGGATTAGGTTTGGATTTTAATAAATTTAAATAGACTCAATTATAATGATGCTTGCTATTTGAATGTTTTAAACAAACGAATAGATTTAATCTTTTAAAATATTTTAGCAATTGAGATTAAATGTGTAGGATGAATTGGATATGGAGAATCCTTATTTAACGGTATAATAAAATATCATCATGTATAAGATTCAGTTTGTGTAGGACATATGATATAGGAAGTTTAAAGAAATAATAAGTCATTCATATTATGTGATAACTTGATATCATATTTATCATAGTTATTTATGGAATGTTTGATGTATTTCCTTAATTGTTATATCAATTGATGGATTGTGTGGTTTAATGCACCGGTATGGGACGGTGGCATTCTAGGGATGGATTAACTTATTAGTTAAGTCCTACCTATTTTATATAAGGGAATTGATTAACTAAAATGTTAAGTCCTACTTATATTTAAGTCAGGTCAGCTGAACAA